TATTTTTGCTCATTATTTTGCCTTTTCATTTTGATTTTTTCCCTTTTTCTGTGCAGAGTTTGTAGTTTGATGTGGTCACACAGTTACCTATGCTTTTATTTTCCTATGCCAAAAAAACATTGCCAGTACTAGTATCAAGGAGCTTTTTGCCTGTATTTTCTTCTCAGAAGTTTAAAATTTCAAATCTTATATTTAAGGCTTTAATCATATTTGAATTGATTTTGTGTATAGTGCAAGCTAAAGACCAATTTCATTCTTTTACCTGTGGATAGCCAGTTTCCTCAATAGCATTTATTGAACAGTCTACCTTTTACACATCGTGGATTCTTCATATCCATTTGTAGAGAAGAGTTAACCCTATAGGTCTATTTTGGGGTTCTTCTCTCTGTTCCATTGGTCTGTTTCTATTTCAAAGGAAAGCTAACTTGTGAGAATCCTGTTGACAGAAGCTAAGATATCTTAAGGTATGGAATTTAAAAAAGAGAGAGAATTCACAAATTCCTTAGAGTAAGTAGTTTAGATGCCAATAACAGCTCTTGGGTACTAGTGAAACATCAATGGATGAGAGATTAATTCTATAATAATTCCATTGTTTTTACCAACAGACTGTGTGGCATAATTCAAGCTCAAGACACATTGATTTACTTATGTTTGACAAAGGGCTTTGCCACATTCTAAATTTAAATCTGCCAACTTCCAAACTTGCTATTTCTTATTCTCATACAGTAAATTCTTATTTTGTAATTTTAGGATGCTTTTTGTTGATGTAAACAACAATATATTTGTTTCTTAATTCATTTTTCAGTTCCTGGAATATGGCAGTATATTTTAGCATGAATAGATAACTGTACTGTTTAAATTGACTATAATTTTATGATATTTATGTCATTAACATAATGCATTTAACTTCAAATATCATATTCTGTGTAAAGATTTTGAAATATTAGCCACTCGTACATATTTGAGACAAATTGTCTTAGCTAAGGTACAAATTCAATGTTAGTGGATTTGATTTGACATTTTATTTTGTAGTTTTGAATTTATTTTTGTGTGGGATATTACCCTATAATTGACTTTTTTTGAATTTTCTTTAGGTTGTCATCATGGCAAATCATCTGTCCATTCCTCACCTGTCAGCAGAGGTTGTTCATATAACATAGGAATTATCTTCTAATAGCAAACATTTCATCTACAAAATAAACAAATAAATAAAAGAGTACACACATCAAATTTTCTGACACAATCTTAATTTGGATCATGTAACTAACTCATCTGATAGATCTAAGAGTTCATCCCAGTATTCGCAAAATGTCAGAAAAAAAACCAAATAACCAAAAAATATTTATTAAACATTAAAAGTAAGTATTTCATTTTAAAACACTATTGGGAATAGGTCTTGAAAATGATGAACAATGAACAATTAGTGAAAAAACTCAAATGCTGAACTGGGCCTAATTAAATATCTATTCCAATCTGTACTCAACATTTAGCACATTAGACTTGTGTTTCATCGTCTTCTAAATTAAACCCTATTTAAGGGTAAACATGATGTCTTTTTTCTCTGTACTGTTTAGCATAGTCTGTGAAATAACAAAAACAGCTAGTTAGTATTTATTGGGTGTGTCTCATTCTTTAATAAACATTTTCCCTACTCTGCTCTATACGACCTACATGGTAGTACAATTGGCCCATTTATAGATGAAGAAATGGAAGCTCACAGAGATTGTGATATATCTGAGATTTTATAGCAGCTAAGTAACTGAGTCAAGATCTGACCAGAGTTATGATTCACTGTTTCCATCATATCCACCCACTCTATGCACTTATTGAGTAGTATGTTAGTCAGCTTTCTAACAACTATAACTGACACTTGAGATAATCAAGCTATAAAATGAAAAGGTTGATTTCAATTTACAGTTTTAGAGGCTCCAATCATGATCAGGTGGATCTATTGCACTTAGGCTTCTGGTGGGGACAAGAAGGAGTGCATGAGACAGTAAAACTGCTCTGACCTTATGGCCAGAAAATAATAAAGAGACTCTAGAATCCTATTATCCCCTTCAAGACCATGACCTAAAGACCTCCCCGTTAGGCACTATCTTTAAATGGCTCCACTATCTTCCATTAGCACCATGCTCTGGGGACCAAACATTTAACACATGAGCCTTTGGGAATCATTACAAACCCAAACTACAGCAAGTAATATTAAATACATACTTGCTGAATTGATCAATGTTTTTGTAACTTCTTCAAAATTGGGTATTTTTTTGTTTGTTTTTTGGTACTAGGGACCGAACCTAGAGGAGCTGAGCCCAAATAAACCTTTTTTCTTTATAAGTTGATTACCTCCAGTATTGGTTATAGTGTTAGAAAGCTGACTAAAACACACTACTCATTAAGTGCATAAAGTGAGTGGATGTGATGAAAACAGTGAATCAGAACTATAGTCATAACTTAATTAAGTTACTTAGATGTTAAGAAACAATACGTTCAACAGGCTACAGGGGATTTTCAAAATATATTTTTTCAGTCTATACATTTCATATGATGGTTTGTCTCTTCTTTTTATTTTCTTCTACCCTTCCTCATCTTTATTTTTTGCCTGATTATCACTCTTTAAAGAAACTATACAAGAAAATGTTTGACTTGATTGTAGATAACTCACGTGACTTTTAATGTCAACACTATATTTTTCTTTTTATCATATTGTATAATACAAATCCAATTTTGAAAGTAAACATAGAGGTTTTAGCTTTTTAATTACAATTTTGGACTTGGGGCCTAATGGTAGGTAAAGATAGGACTTGTATTCTAGAAGACACAAGTTTGAGGCTTTCAATATCCTGGTTTTGTTAAAAAATAACTTGAATGGGTGAAAAATGAAGTATAGACACAAAAGTATTGATTACCAAACCATTTAATGTCGACATTGGAATGTAACATTTGAAATGAAGGCAGTTTCTGGAAAGTTGACTTCTCACAGGAAACTGACAAGGAGTCTTTTGTTACTGTGTGGCAGCGGGGAGTGTGGGCATTTTCATAAAATTAAAATGAGGAATATAGGAAACTTAACCATAGGGGACATATTTTATTCAATTGATTTCCATAACATTTGACTCTCTTGATTTTCTTTTTTCATTCTCTTTTGCAGGATCCTCCTGCTCTTCAAGTGGGGCAGCTCCAGGGTTGTCCTTGGTCTTCATCTCTTTTTCAGTTCTCTACATTCTCTAATATTTTAAAATAATATCTACATGCTAATGACTCCCCAATTTTTATCTCTAGCCCACCTCTCTCTCCTGTTGCAAAATCATGAAGCCCAACAATGCCAATTGAATCACTAAGCAATGTCTTGAGGGGCTGGGGTTGTGGCTCAGGGGTAGAGCACTTGCCTAGCATGTGCGAGATGCTGGGTTCGATCCTCAGCACTACATAAAAATGAATAAATAAAATAAAGGTATTGTGTCCAACTACAATTAAAAAAATGTTTTAAAAAGAGAGATGTCTTGAACTTTAACACTTCCAAAAATTGAAATCTTGATCTCAAATTCATTCCACCTGAAATCTTTCCTATGTCAATTAATGATATCTCCATTCTTCTGGTTGCTTAGGGCAGAAGTCTTAGGGTTTATACTTGACTCTTCTCTTTTTTAAATGTCCACTCAATAATCAGAAACTGTACCTTTCAGAAGAAGCTGATCACTTCTCCACATCCCCACCTCCATCTACCTGTTAGTCAGCTTTATATCACTGTGACAAAATACCTGAGATAAATAATTCACATGGAGGAAAGATATTTTGGCTCACAGCTACAGAGGCTTCAGTCTGTGGTGCTAGTGAAGGCCATGCTTTTGGACCTTAGTGAGGCAGAACATCATGGAGGGGAGTGCATGGCTGAACAAAGCTGCTCACTTCCTGAAGGTAGGAAAATAGAAGTAAAGTTTATTATTACAGCAAAGCCCCTCCCTGCCAAACCCATTAAGTTATGAAACCATAAATGGATTAATCCTCTTATAAGGTCATAGATTTCATGATCCAATCACCTCCAAAAGGACCCACCTCTCAACATGTCGCTCTGAAGATCAAGGCTTCTACACAAGAGCTTTTGGGGTCCATTTAAGATCCATAACATACTAGGTCTCCTTTTAAAAGAAGAATATGAGTGAGGCTTCTATAATTCAAGTTATTTTTAACAAAGCCAGGCAATAATCCCTCACCTGACTAGCATGCACAAGGCCCTGGGTCTGATCCCTAGCATTGCAAAAAGTAGAATGAAATAAAAAATAAAAGATCATATCATTCTTTTTTCTTTAAACACTTCAAGAAACCTGCATCTCATAAAAGTCAAAGTCCTTATGAAACTCTATGATCTGTGCAATCTCAATTCCTCTCCCCACTCCTTCATCTCTTCTATTTTCATGACTTCTAACCTGTGAGGTGCTTCTAGAACAGGCCGAATTTGGTACTGACTAGGAGCCACAGAGTTGGCTGTTTCCTTTTCCTGGGCAGCTTTTCTCCCACATTATCAGCTTTTCTCGGAATAACAGCTTCCCACCCAGATAACTGCTTAGTTTACTCCATTGCCTTCCTTAAGCTTTTGGCTCAGTGTAACCTTTTCAAGTTAAGTCTATTCTGAGAATCCCATTTAAAGTTGCAACATGCCTCTTTACCCGCTCATCTTTTATCCTGTTCTACTTTTTCCTATACCTTGTATTTATAGCTCACCAAACAACTTGGAGGATCATTTTCTTTCTAGTAAAATGTAACAAAATAGGGCAAAGGTTGTTTTGTCCCATTATATTGAGTGTTTGGCATGATAACAAACGTTCAACGAAGGAGCCCAGGAACTCATCCTTTTACTGTTCATACATCTGGGTAGGCTATCGGCACTCAATCTCGGCACCTTCTTAAAAAGTCTGAAGCTCCCAAAGCCCTCTACTTTTTTTAAAGACCCTCACGACACCGGAAGTAAAAGCCCACAAAGCCGGTCAGAGAACAGAGCCACTTCCGTTTCCGTAGGGAGCAAAAGGAGCAAACAACATGGCGAAGGCCGGCGAAAAGAATGGCAGCAGCGGGAAAAAAAACTTAAAAAGGAAAGCCGCTACCAAAGAACCTCAAGAGGCTGCGGTTGCTGAGGATGGAGCGACGGAAAGCGGGGCCCAACCCCCGAAAGCCGCTGCCTTTCCCCCAGGCTTCAGCATTTCGGAGATTAAGAACAAACAGCGGCGACACTTGATGTTCACGCGGTGGAAGCAGCAGCAGCGGAAGGTATGGAGAGGCGGAGGTTGCCGGGCGCATGCGTGGTGTGCGTCGCGTGGAGGATTCCGGGGCTCACGAAATCTAGTTTGTACTTTGAAAGTGGGTGGGCGCGCAGTGTTTGATCTGAAAGGGTGATGCTAGTGGCTCGCGTGTCCTGGCTCCCGCGCTCTGCTTTGGAGACTTGTGTACAGCCTTTTGCCTGACCGTGTGGGTGGAAAGTTCCCTATCATCTGGGCGGAGGGCTCATTCCGAGGGTTCTCCACTTAGAAGGAAGAAAATCCGCAGTCCTGTTTTCCTAATGAGAATTATTCCCTCATTGCCTGGAAGGCGAGAGTCTCAACCCCTGTTTTACCCAGCCTACCCAACGTTGGTTAATTTTTAGCATTTGTGATCCAGGCGATACATAACAAGCTTAAAATATTGTTTCTGATTCCTGCAGCACCTCTTATTGAAGTCTTAAGTTTCTAGTAATTGTATTTGTTCTTTAAAGCATTGTGCTCTGAGAGGTAAACAAACTGAAACAAATGACTCTCCCAAGGTCCTAGTGCTTATCTGTGATGAAATCGCTGTTGGAGAAAAGCATTTGCTTATTTTTGCATATCATAGAAATTCACACATAGTATTCTTTTTATTTGCCTGTCTCCTCTTATTAGACTTTTTGAGGCCAGGGATTGATTCTTACATAAGTGCCATTGTGCCACTGGAGTACATTCAAAGGACATCTAACCTATTCTGGTATGCAAGTATCAGGATGGGAAATCCTAGGAGTCTTCTTGGGACAGTGACTTCAGAAACAATGAATTGAGGGTCAATTGGCATTGGGGGTGAAAAGTATGTTCTGTTGTGTGTTAAGCATTCTGTCTAGAAATCAAACGATACGGATTTGTAACAAATAATCCTACCCGACTTTGCACATTTTTAATTTTAAAAGAATATTTTAATTATAAAATATGAGGATAACTAGGGATAATTTTATTGGAAGCAACTTCAAACTCATCTCCCACTTCTATTTTTAGTGCTTTCTAACAAATTCAACTATCATAACCATGATCTTTAGGATGTAATCATTTATGTAAAACAAAACTTGTTAAATTGTTTAGATACATATTTTGCATTTTCATAAATTTAATTTTTTGAGTAGCAAAAAAGGTGGTGAAATTTTAAATGCTCAAACTTGCCAGTTTACACTTTTTTTTGAAGAAGCAAGATCTTTGTTAAACAAATCCTGTTGATTGGCTTATAGTAATTTAGATATAAAAATCTATATCTGGATGGTTATTTTAATGGATTACAAGTGTTGTATTCATAGCATTATCAATTTGTAGTTTCAGTATGTATTTGTGATATAACCTGTAGTTTCTTAATATTGTTCTTTTGTTTTTATCCCTTTAGGAAAAATTAGCAGCCAAGAAAAAACTGAAAAAAGAGAGAGAGGCTCTTGGTGATAAGGTAAATAAATTTTTAGTCATCTGTTTTCTATCTTGGCTATTACATTGATAACTTCTTCTAAATTTTTATGAAATATTTTATATTTATAGAAAGATGCAAAAATAACATAGCAAACACTTTTCTGTCCTTGCTCCTGCCTGCTTCTTCCTGATGGCTTTTCCTTCCAAATGTGTACCTAAATAGTAAGCATAATGATGGTGTTTTGGATGTCTTTTTTATATGTTTGGGAATGGGAAGACTCCTCAAGACATTTTGGTCTTTAGCTTTTGTGACTTGAAGCAAAAAAGGCTTTTTATCAGGCAAGACTGTGGAAAGACCAGATGGAGTCTTTTCTATAGTAGAGTGGAGTTCATGTAAGAATGAGAGCTGATAAAGAAGATTATGAACCTGTATAGAATGGGAGCAGGGTGAGACCTGGATGGATTATGGCAAAGAAAAGAGCAAAATATGTATTACAAGGGGATTTGGTGACTTTTGTGGTAATAATAAATGAAATATTTCATTGAAATTTTTTTAAAGCACTATTTAAAAATACTCCCACATTGTTGCACAGCTAAGTTTAATTTTCATTTAGTTTCATTTTGTTTATACATATTTCTAGGTTATGATTTATACTTGCAAACTTTTAAAAACATTCAACTCTTTCCACTATAATTTCTTGTAAAATAAGGTAACAAGTAAGAATAAGGTTTTCTGAGGAAGAGAAATATTAAGACTTTATATAAATTAAATACTTTTTCATGCATTCTCTTTATAGTATTAGGTTAAATCATATGAAATTGTCACTGTTAGACTATTTTGACCAGCAAAATTCTATGAATCAAGCAATGTTAGTATCTTTGAAACTCTTCAATAATCAATTACAACAAATTAATGTCTTAATCATTGCTTGAAAACATTTTCATTTTTTTGTGCTGAAAGATGATTTCCTAGAATTGGCTCCTTTAAAGATAACTTAAAACTTCCTACAGCATTTGTTTCAGAGTAACAAAAAATAAAATCATGACTGGTTTATTAGTTCACATTTTCTTCATATCTCTGCTAGTGTACATGTACTTTTGATTATTTTTGCTTCTTCCTGGTGGCTTTTCCCTCCAAAGACAATCATTTTGTATAGTATTTGTGTAGTTCTGTTCCTGATCTTTGACAGTCATTTACATAATTTGTTCCTCTAATTGTGCATGATTTTAGCAGTATCCCATCATGTTAATGTATGGGTAATATGTGTAGTAATTACCCTCATATTGGATATTTGTTTTATTTATTTTTTTATTTCTATTAGAAATAGTGATACTATCCGTAGTGATATTTCTTTATAGATAGCTCCATCCCCTCCCCTTTTATTGCTTACTGTAAATTTCCCAAAGTAGAATTACATGGTCTGTGGATAGACTTTGCTATATATTTCTGACTAGCTATCTGAAGGAATTGAAACAAAACCACATACATATATACTTCTGTAATTTTTTTCCATCTTTTTGTTTATTTGCTTTTGTTGTTGTCAGTAGTGGATAATTATTGTGAATGCTACTTCTCTTTGCTACTTTGGCCTAGTTTTTAAGCCATATAATTCAACAGTAATTATTTTTCTGTTATGTATATGTCTCTGCTCAGATGGTTAAAAAGCAGTATTCTTTAGTTTTGTTATCAGGATTGATGTAGTTTTATGGCATGTGTAGCAGTGGGTTGAAATGAGAACAGATTATGTTTTTAATGTATTTATGAATTTCTTCCACAATTATAATATAATGTAAAATGCTTATTTGTAAAACCTTATCCTTTCTCTTTTTATTTAGGCTCCACCAAAGCCTATACCCAAGACCATTGACAACCAACGAGTTTATGATGAAACTGTAGTAGACCCTAATGATGAAGAGGTAATGTTAGAAGCCTTAAATGAATTTGAATGATCATCCTTGATAAATTGTATGTTGATATGTTAATATTTTGCTGGCTGGCTAAGTTGTATAAAATACTGATCCAGCTATAATGTTGGCATGTTGTCTTTTTTGGTACAAGTTATTTTATAATTGAATTTTCCCAGTACTGCTATAGAAAATTTCAATAAATATTTATTTTTTTTACAAATGCTTTGAATTTTATGAGTAGGTAAGATTTTAAATGTCATTTAATCTCTGAATAGCATATTGAATATTTTAAGAGTCTCTATACTGTAGATGTTTGTAGGGTTTGTTGGACTACTTTTTGGTATCTAAGAATAACATTTGATGGTACTTTTTTGCATACTCATAAAACTCTTGCAGACTGTCTAAAGAAATAACATGCAAAGTGGAAGATTATCTTAAATCTTGTTAGAGATATTCCTGAATATATATATATTTTTTAGTGTAAATTGCTTCTTTTTGAAAATTGTTTTGTTCACTGATTTATTAGAATGCAGTTGAATTTTGGATAGTGGTCCTCTAAGCCAATAGCTTACCTATGCTCATTTCTAATAATTTGTCTAAGTACAGTTTTCATTTTTATGTATAGATAATAACTTCTTCAAATGACAGTTTTGTTTAAATCCATTAATATTTCATTTTTTCCCCACTTTGTGTTCACTAGAATTTTTAGCATAGTGTCAGATAAATAGCAAAGCAATAACGGTATTTTTGCCATGCTTCTGATTTGAAAGAGAATACTGCTGGTGTATCATCATTAATGTTTATGTCATCAAGGTAGATTCTCCTTATAGGTTAAAGAAATTCCATTTATACTTGTTTTATCACAAATGAATATAGATTGTTATTGGATTCTTTTTCTGCAAATATTGTGATGATCATGTGGTTTTTCTCCTAGCAAATGACATCTTATTGATTTTCTAATATTAAATACTTGCATTTTGGGGATAAACCCATTTTGGTTACTATATTTTATCTTTTTCTAAAATCTTGCTTGGTGTTGTTAGTACTTTGATTGAATTAATATGTGTCAGTGTTCATAAGCAAGACTGTAGAAATGACCTTTTTCATTCCTATTTGGGCATTTTAGACAGTTATTTACAAGAGATATAACCAAATAACTTTTTTCTTTGATCTTCTCTACTAAATTCTAATTCACTTTTATCTTTTTATTTCCTTCTCTCATCTTTGCATTTATTGTGATTTGTTTTATTGGTTTGCACATTTTTTATAATTTCTGATGTGAGCAGTTAAGGCCACAAATTTCCAAATACCACTCTTGGTATTTCCCACAACTTTTAAAATGTGCTGCTTTCATTATTAAGTCTGAGTATCTCCTATAATGACAGCTTTGTTGATTTCTTGTAATTTCGTTAGTTTTTTCTTTGGTTTTAAATTTTTAATTGACATTTTATAGGGTATACTATGATAATTTGTTACATGTAAACAATGTATAATGATTAAATTGTTTCCATCTCAAATATTATGACTTCTCTATGTTTAGGACTTTTAAAGTGAACCTTGGGGTTGGAGGTACCTCAGTGGTAGAGTGCTGCTTGTTTAGTATGTGCAGTCCCTGTGTTCAATCCCCAACACAAAAAAAATAGAAAAGAATTACAACATGCATCTTTAATAAAGATGATACAATTCTGGTAAAATTTAACAAGTACAGTACTAGTACAGTCATAATTACTTCTTCAAAAAAATTTCGTGCTTTTCAAGGAAATCAAAAGTATGCACATATATATAGTCTTTAATGGACGGCATTTTTACTGTTCACATTACTCTTCTTTTCACTCTCTGTATCTGAGTTACCACCTAATGTCATTTTCTTTTTAGCTTGTAGAATTTCTGTTAGTCTGTTTTTTTTGTTTGTTTGTTTTTTAAGAGAGAGAATTTTTTAATGTTTATTTTTTTAGTTTTCAGTGGACACAACATCTTTATTTTATTTTTATGTGGTGCTGAGGATCGAACCCAGCGCCCTGTGCATGCCAGGCGAGCGCGCTACCACCTGAGCCACATCCCCAGCCAGCCCCTGTTAGTCTGCTTTTATAACAGATTTAATAAAGCCAATTTTTTCAACTTTTACCTAGAAATTTGCATATTGCTTTCATTTTTAAGATAATTTTGAAGAATATAAAATTCTTGCTTTTTTCTTTTAATACTTTGAACATATCCCTCCACATATCCATCTTCTGCACTTTAGCCTTCCTTATTTCCACTAATCATCACTTCCCTGTGCTTTCTTTTATTTCACTCAAAATTTCCCGGTGTTGGCTTTTAGCAGTTTGATTTTCATGTGTTTAGATATCATTCTCTTTTTTTTCTATTGGAATTTTTTGAGCTTCTTGGATCTGTAAGTTAGTATTTTTCATTAAACTTGTGGTGTTATCAGCCATTATTCAATATTTTTTTCCTGCCCTTTCTCTTTGGTCTAAGGGGAACTTCCTTTACATACTACTGAAATATTTGACATTATCCTACAAGTTCTCCCAGCTTTGCTTTACTTAATATGATTGTTTTCTCTGTCCTTCAGACTATGTATTTGTCAATTTTTAGGTTCATTGATTCTTCTCCATTGTCAGATCTGCTATTGAGACTGTGTTTTCCTTTTAATTCTATAGTGTATTAAATAGGATTGCTTTGAAGTCTGTTAAATTCAATATCCGAACCCACTTACTAAGTATTGACTACTTCTTTCCTGATTATGGGTCATACTTTCTTGTTTCTTATATACTCAATAATTCTTTTGGTTGAAAACTGGATATTTTAGACCAAATATTGTAGCATGTCTGAATTCCAATATAAGGAATGGTTATTGTTTTATTAATTTTCCTGGCCTTACAACATGGAATCTGTCTCCTCAATAGTAGCACAATATCTCTGCTTAGCAGTTTTTAAAAATTATTTTTAAACTTTCTCCTGAGGAATTGCTCCTGTGTTTATGTGGCTTAATGGTCTGTGAGTGATTAGGCACCTGGGTGTTGAGACACCTCAGGACCTAAAAACATACATACTTTTTCCTCCGAGCTGCATGTGGGTTGAGGAATGCCTTCAAGGTTGCAATCAGTTCTCAAGTCTCTCTTGTCTTTCACATTAGGTAGATTCTCAGATCTCCCCCAATACATATGTGAGGTTAGCTGTCAGCCAAGAATTATGGAGCAATAATCTTGAACACTGTATGACTCTTTCATTTCCATAGCACCCCTTTAAATTTCTGGCCAGTTCATACCCACCTTGAACGGGGTCTACTAACCTGGATTGGCAAAGCTGTGCAGGTTTTCACCTTCATCTCACAAAGCTCTATTCCTGTCTTGGTCTAGTCCACCATCTCTGAATCCAAGACTGCTAGTTCTTACCTGCCATCACCCTTGAAGTTGTTACTGTTTTCACCAACCAAACTAATGAGAGAAATGGAATAGCTCTAGGCAAGATTCCTGATATTCTTGCACATTTCTCTAGCCATTTTTCAAGAACAAATGTACCTCGGTGTTTTAGTCAGCTCTTCTGCTGCTGTGACCAAGACTCGACAAGAACAATTTCAGAGTTCTCTTATTAAACATTGAAGTTTGTGCTTGCTACTCAGTTTGAATTAATCAGTTCTAACCTATATCTGGATATTTATATTGTTCATAAAATAATAAATAGTTTATAGAAGGAAAAAAAAGAACAACTTCAAAAGAGGAAAAGTTTATTTGACATTCACAGTTTCAGGGGTCTCAGTTCCTAAATGGTCAACTCCATTGTTCTGGGCACAAGTTGAGGCAGAACATCATGGTAAAAGAGTGTGGTAGAGGAAAGCTTATTAGGACATGACCACGAGGAAGCAGAGAGACTAAGGCTCTGCTTACCAGATACAATACATAGCTCAAAAGCACACCCCCAGTGACCCACTTCCTCAAGCCACACCTTATCTGTCTATAGTTCTCACCCAGTTAATGCATTCAAGTGGTTTGATGCACTGGTAAAATTAATGTTGTCATAGCCCAATCCTTTCACCGCTAAACTTTCTTGCATTGTCTCATGAGCTTTGGGGTGATACCTCTTATCTAAACCATAACACTCTGTGTCTTGAAATAATTTTTGACAGTTTTATCTAGTTTTATACTTGTATTCTACAGACACAAAATTATCCACCCTCTTCATGTTGCCATTAACATCAGTTCCTCCTATGTCTTCTTTAAACTGTGTCAAATAGATGATTAATGACAGTGCTTTACCAGTAGAGCATACTTGTTTGATGTAAAATTATCTTCCTTGTTTGCAGGTTGCTTATGATGAAGCTACAGATGAATTTGCTTCTTACTTCAACAGACAAACTTCTCCCAAGATACTCATCACAACATCAGATAGACCTCATGGGGTAAACACATCCATTAGTATAATTCTTGAATTCTTAATCTACTTTTATTTCTACTATTTAAAGTACTCTATTCAGAAGAATTAGTTAATGTCTTAGATAATGCCTGTGAATAAGTTATGTAAAAATAACTGGTGATAGGATATGAGTTCACTAAGCATGATTCTTCATATGTTTTCTCAACCTTAATACTATTAACATTTTGGGCTGAGTACTTCTTTGTTAGAGTACACTATCCTGTTCATCATAGGATGTTTAGCAATATCCCTAGCCTTTGTCCATTCCATGCCAGTAGCCAACCATAAAAATGTCTAGACATTGCCAAATGTCTTTTGGTGGAGCAGAATCACTCCTTGTTGAGAACTGATGCTTTAGGATGATTAGCCTTTAATAAAAAATGAAACAATGTTCTGATTTCATTCTTTTCCCAGTCTTGTTGTCTATTAATAATACTATAATAATCATTATTCCTTTTCTTGTGAGAATATAACACATAACATTCTTTTGCCCTTTTGAAAATATTTGCTATTTTGTTTATAGAGAACAGTACGACTTTGTGAACAGCTCTCTACAGTTATACCAGACTCACATGTTTATTATAGAAGAGGACTGGCTCTGAAAAAAATTATTCCACAGTGCATCTCAAGGGACTTCACAGATCTGATTGTGATTAATGAAGATCGTAAAACACCAAGTATCCTTTTTAAAAATAAAAGGAAGTTTTCCTGTCTGTTCTTTCATTTTGTTTTAAAAATATATTTAAGATAATAGGAAATTTCCCTATAACTTCCAGAACATAATATTTTTTTCCCAAAAAATTAATATCTTTATCCAAGATTCTACAAACAGATTTTTTTTTCCTTTTTATTCAGCAAACATTTATTAGGAATATATATACCCAAGACATTGTTTTAATCCTTAGATAAAAGATGCAGTGATAAGAGACATCAGCTTTCAGGGAATTCAGTCATGGGACAATATTCTTTTTATATCGGTGAATATTGATTATTATATAAATGTTTTAAAAGACTGTTTTTTAAAACATAAGTAATTTTTATTGGTTTTATTATTTTAAATATAACTGAAATATATTTCTTTATTCACTTATACTAGTAGTTTTCCAGAAGCAAAAATTAATATTGTAATGTGGTGCTTTGTTGGCCATATTATAATTTGTCTTAACCAGACTAATGTACCACATTAAAACCTTTTGAACACTTAACTATTCCAGAAAAGATCCATTTCTAAGGCAGATGCTGCTTATTTTAATTGCCCCCCAAAATAAAGTGCCAAGGTCTGTTTTCCTCTTTTTTTGTCACTTAAACCACAGTCATTTCAAGATTACCATAACTCTTAACAAAGAAGTAGACATATAATTCAGTAAATTTTCTATTCTTTTACTGAGGTATTTCATGAAGACACAGATTGCATTTATACCATCTGTGATCTTCAGAAAAATTACACTGCCTTTTCTTTATAAAATTGTATTCTTTTTTACCTAAAATATATTATTTTCTGATTACCATATTGGATACTTTGTAGGGTAAGCTGTCAGCCTCTTTTCCTCATTACTGAATGAAATAGCCATGACTCCTTGTTTTGTTTGCATGATTTGTGTCAGGTATTAGCAATAACATAAAGCTTTTTGTTTAGATACCAGGAAAGTTTTTTAGGAACTGATGAGTTTGAATTTTTGTACTTTGCTTTTGACATAAACCACAACTTATTGGGAATGTTCTAGGAAGGATTTGAAGCCTTGATTGGGGTTAGAAGAAATGACCTTTACATTTCCTAGCCCCCTTAATATTTGATGATTTTCTCAATGTGCAGATGATACAAAAACACTTCCTATATTTCATGAAGTTGCACATGTGGTGAATATTTTAAAAAGAAAGAAAGAATTAAAATGTTTGCTGGTAATGTGTGATGTGGTAGTCACTAACGTCCGAAAGAAAAAGACCTATTTTCCAGAGTTAACAGATAGTTAGGAGAAAGTGACAAGTGCTGTGGTAAATAACAATGATAGCAAAGATTTGGAGCAGAGTTCTGACTATAAAAAGGTGGGACTTGCAGTGGATCTTAGGGTGAGTGAAGTGCTGCAAATATTCAAAATAACAGCCAAAAAAAATGCACTGATAAGATAAACATGAAATATAAGAATATAAGATTGCGTGGGTGCCTACCAGTCAGGAAATAGTTGGGGAAAGAAAAAGGGGAAATAAGAAAGGCAGTTTGTAGCCACATTACAAGTGCCATATTGATGTCTTTGAGTTAGTAACAACAGAATGTGAAATTAGGTACAGCTATCAAGACTGTGAAGGTATCTAGTTTGTCACTTTGCACAGAAGAAACTATGGTGCAAATGAAACGACACTGCAAAGTCACATAGCTTATTATTTCAGAGAACCAAAGTCTAAATCCAGACTTGATTTATAGTCTGTATTAGAATGTACTTGACATGGAAAGAATAGAACTAACCACAATACTGTTTTCAATGATGTACATGGAAAATCTCAAGAATCTCAACTGTGACAATAACAGGGTAAAGAGGCAGGTGTAGAAATGAGAACTTGTGAAGGTGGAGGATTAAAATTTGGGATGGGGGAATAGCAACGTATTTTATACATTTCATGTTGTAAACAGATAAGGATTGAAATAGTCTTGATTCTGACCTACATTTAAGGTTCAATTATTTAAAAATACTTTTAATTGTAGATGGACACAATACCTTTATTTATTTTTCTGTGGGGCTGAGGATTGAACCCAGTGCCTCACACGTGCTAGGCGAGCACTCTACTGCCAAGCCACAATCCCAGCCCTTAAGATTCAATTTCTGAGTCAGATAAAATCATGTTTGAAATTTTCCTTAAACTCAAAAAGCACACTATAAATTGAAATCCCAGGCCATAGCTGTTAGTTCTTCCTGCTTAAAGTACAAATGGACAGTAGCCAAAATAAATTCATGGGAAAGTAAAGGAGAGAGGTTCAAGTCAAGTTGTGCTAGAGACCTGAGGACTGTTGAATGGAAGTTTGTTGTAGTTGGGACTTTTAGTCCTTGGGCTGCTAACCTTGCTGATTATATGTAGATGTAATATATTTCATTTGTAGTTTAAGAGTGTCTGGCATAATTCTGTTTATGGTAGACAGTAAGTAGTTATTAATTGCTTGAATTTGTAGTACAGTAATAAAACCTAAGAAATATTAATAACTTTGATTTCAATAAGAACATTTAAACAATTCTGGTCTTGTGGCATATTCTAAGTTGATACCATATCCTAACAGTACAAACATTAAAAAGTGGCATTTTTAGGGTTATAAGTCTTCCGAATATGGAAGTAAACTTAGGTTGTTTATGTTGCTACATTATTCCTGCTTGAGTAGTGGTCTTTAAGTAACTTTTTTCCTACCTACTTTAGTTGAAAGTGCAAGATAACTTTGTTAAGAGTGATGACTGGCTATTTCTTATTTATTTATTTAAGAAAAGATATGCTCTAGGTTGTTTTCTTGAAAAGATTTAGGTTGACTGATGTGTTTTTGAGTTTCTGATACATATTAATCCAGGAGAATATATGCATTCACCTACTCACTTCAGATTTTTTTTTAAAGTTTGTTCTAATTAGTGATCACTTCAGATTTTAAGGCCATTTGGACATGTAGGAGACTACTTGTTTTAGTTAGCATTTTGGCTGCTGTGACTAAAAGACTTGACCAGAACAAGTGTAAAGGAGGAAAAGCTTATTTAGTGTCTCATGGTTTCAGAGGTCTCACCACATACTGGATGGATGGTGAAGCACATCCCACATTTTGTTAAGAGTTTTGCTTTATTTTGTTTTTTTGCAGGTTTTGGGGGGATTGAACCCAGGGGTACTACACCACTGAGCCACAAACCTATCCCGTTTAAAAAACTTTTAAGACAGGTCTACTAAATTGCCCAGTTCACAGCCAGCAGGCTCCATTTCTTGGGGCATAAGGTGAGGCTGAACACAGAGGAAGGAAGGGTGTGATGTAGGGAAGCATTCACCCAATACAAAATACATACCCCAAAGGCACACCCCCAGAGGCCCACCTCCTTCAGTTATACCCTACCTATCTTCAGTTACCACTCAGTTAATCCCACCAGGGGATTAATTCACTGATTGTGTTAAGATTCATAACCCAGTCGTTTCTTCTCGAAACCTTACATTGTCTCACACATGAGCTTTTGGGGGACAACTCACGTGCAAATCATGACACTAGTTATTTTAAACAATTTAAAATAATGTGTTTCTTAACATCTATGTACAGATGGACTTATATTGAGTCACTTGCCAAATGGTCCAACTGCTCACTTTAAAATGAGCAGTGTTCGTCTTCGTAAAGAAATCAAGGTAAGTTTTATGCAATCCTTGATTGGTATTGATTTCATATTATTTGAATAATAGATTATTTTATCTTACAGATCAAATTCATTTTAATGACATTTGTTCTGATGAAAGCAATATTTTACCTAACAGTTTCTCACCCATATCCCGTGCAGGTGAGGGAATGGGTTTCCCTTCAGTGGGATGGGCTGGCTGAGAAATTAAAGCTAAGAAAAGTAGAACCATGAAGTGACCACGGAACACAGAAAGTTGTTTCAAAGAGTGGGCAGAGATGGGCAAAGCTGACCAGACGGGTCTAAACTTCTAGCCAAGAGAGCCTATGTTTGTTTTATTTGTATTGGAAAACATCAAAGGCTTTCAATAGAAAATTCTTTACCAAAACAGGATAGAAGTGGGGGCAGGTAGGCTGCTCAGTTCTAGTGGGTTACGCCCATCTCCAGTGCTTCGTGGGACCTTTCTAGCAGAACTGGGGGTGGGGGGGGGGTTCACTTGTGTCAGGCAATCTACCCTAGTGGGACTGCCATGAGAAGTTCCCAGTGCCAGATCTACCCCCTCACTGGATGCGATGCTGAAAAATAAAAAAGGTCCTTGTGCATTTCACAGATGGCTTCCTCCAACAGTTTTCTTCTGTTATTGTGATGATTTATGGCAAACAGGAAATAGCCCTTGTTAGTAAGAAATTGCTGATTTTCTGACTTTTTTGGTGTACTCTGCATCTTACTTCATTGGCTTAATAAACTATCCATGGTAGTCTGCCATTTAAAAAACAATACAATAACTCTTAAGTTTCTCATTTGACCTCTAAGTTCCAAGACATGCACTGAGAGGTATTGTTTTGACAATTTAGCTTAATTTGTTATTGTGATTTTTCACAATTTTTCTAGAGGAGAGGCAAAGACCCCACAGAACACGTACCTGAAATAATTCTGAATAATTTTACAACACGACTGGGTCATTCAATTGGACGTATGTTTGCTTCACTCTTTCCCCATGATCCTCAATTTATTGGAAGGCAGGTTGCCACATTCCACAATCAGCGTGATTATATCTTCTTCAGGTTTCACAGGTGAGAAATGTATTCTGAACTTACATTTTCAACATGAACCTATTTTGTTTATTTTGGGGGTGAGGTACTAGGGATCAAACCTGAGGCCTTACACATTCCAGGCAAGTGCTCTACCACTGAGCCACATCCCAAACCCTTTAACATGAATCTGTTTTCTAATATATTATGGCAAATCTTTTAAGTTGTGTCATAGGAAATTAGTCTGAATGAGCCCAACTATTATTTCTTTAGCATTAACTTATTTTGTCTTTGAAGATATATATTCAAGAGTGAAAAGAAAGTGGGAATTCAGGAACTTGGACCACGTTTTACCTTAAAATTAAGGTCACTTCAGAAGGGAACCTTTGATTCTAAATATGGAGAATACGAATGGGTACATAAGGTAAGTGCTAACTATTTGAGAAATCCATTTAAATCATTTTAAATGTGATGAAAAGAAAACCTTGTGCTTTCATCTTTGGATATTTATACCTTAAACGGTGGTTCTGAATTTTTTCCCCTATGGGCTAGAAAGAACCAATCTGATATGGTATCTGGGTCTGAGGCTTAACTGTGACTTATTTGAAGTAGCATAAGAGATAATGATTCTCAAAGTAAAACTGGCAATGTCACTTTAGCAATGAAAATTCTTGGAACCCTGATCTACTGGATCAGTTATGGCTGGGGGTGGAGGATAGCATTGTTTTAGGCCTGGGTTATGTGATTCTACTGCATGTTTCTTGAGAACTGCTGCTAGTATTTCCTAGACCTAAAGATCAATTTTTACTATCTTTACCTAAACGGTTTTCATAATATATTTTTCCCCTCTAATTTTCAGCCCCGGGAAATGGATACAAGTCGAAGAAAATTCCATTTATAAAGTCCTAAGGAAATAGTATTGGATTTTGCTGAACTTGGTAATTTATTTGTGATAGAACGCCTTTTTCAAAATAGCATTTATTGATTTTATAAATCTTCATGTCTGAACAGTTGACCAAGTGCCATGAATTGCCACTCTACATAGCAAATCAAAATAAAAGTAATTTGGGTGAGGATTTAGAATTTATAATTCAGGGTGCCTAACAATTAATTTGCTTACATTGGGGTAATTGTGAATGATTCAAACTGAAATAAAGATTCAGATTAACTTTCCTATCTACATTCCCAAATAACATGTGGGCTGGAGATAAACAGAATGGTTGATGGATACCATGTAACTCCTAATTTATTATCAGATTTCCCATTATCTTGCTCCTTTTTAACCTCATTACATGGTATGGTATTACATAGTAGGTACTGTCTCAAATCCTGAAGTTTTTCTTACTACTACTAATGGAACGTTCATTGCCAATCTTCTCTCTACTACCATTCTTATTAAACTAAAACCATCCAAGTAACTGGCTACTTAAGTATAACTGGTAATACCCCTGGAAAGGAGGATATTGTAAATATTATTAAGATAAAATTATGTAAATAACTCAAGGACAGAAACAGCACTTTACCCCAACTTTAAAAGAATAAAGATTTGCAATTTATACTTGGTAAGACACAAAATAATATAATTGGTGAAACAATGAAAAGTTAGAACTAAAAATTTAACCCCTTCAAGTGTCAAAACAGCTTAAAACAATGTTTTTCATAAAATAATAAAGCAATAAACGTTTATACTAAGTATTTTATTGTATGTTGCTGCCAGTGTATATAAAATAATTACACTTGTGAAATAGAAACTCATGAAAATTCAGAGAGGTAGATGTTAAGGACTGACAAAAGTAGAAGTTTATATTATGGCACATGTTATAGGGAAGCTTTTTGTACAGGCTTCAAATTTAGCTCTCTTGAATATTCACTGGTTCTTGAGCAGTGGTTTGGGAAACCTGAAAGGAGGGGGGAAAAGTGAATTAGAGTAAAGTATCATGGATCGTTTTTCACATTTTTTCCAAGAATACGTAACAGTAACCATTGTTTATTTAATATATATGTGTGTGTATATTTTTTAATTGCTCATGTCCTTTGCCTATTTTTTTCTTTAACAATACTTCTTATATAGAAGGTCCCCAACTTAACAATCTTTTTTTTTTTTGCCTTTACAATGGTGTAAAAACAATAAGTATTCAAGACAATACTTTTAGGTTTTGAATTTTGAGCTTTTCTGGTATTGGGATATTCAGTATGATCCTCTGTCAGTGCTAGACAGCAGTGAGCATAGCTCCCAGTCTACTACATGATCACAAGGATAAACAACTGATAATCCACAGTGAAACTATGTTAAGATATCCTGTTTTGTTAGGTATACTAAATGCATGTTTGACTTAGGATGGGTTTGTTGTGATATAACACTATCACATGTTTAGGAGTATCTGTATTACCTTTAAGGGGTTTCATTCAAATGTCAGTTTATAAAGAGCTTTCACCTGAATGAAACCTGTTGGAAAACATCTATTTTTTTTTTTTTTTTAAAGCAGATACATCACAGGATTTTTAAGAAAGAATATAAAAACAGGATGGGAAAAGACTAATGTTATGGGCAGTAAACTTCCAACTTTCTCTTAATTTTCATAACTATTCTCATTATTAGTACTGACTGTTTATAAATAGACTTACAGATTAACTTGCTAAGATTACTGCTGAAATACACTGTATCATAATAAAGTATATATAAGTCTCAAATCAAGAAAACTCTGAACACTCCTAGAAACTCAATAAAGAATATCTGGAAGAGCAGTAAGTATATGAAAAACATGCTCCTAGTGAAATACTATACTGGTGAAGTGCTATACTATAGCCAGTGGTTATCATCAAGTATTATTAAAACTTCAAATTTTTATTTCTTGTTTCCTAATTTTACTTCCAAAAATTTATCTTAAAAATTGGAGACAAAGTAGATATATAGACACCAAGATGCCCGCTACACTATAGCTTCAAATTCAGAAACTTCAACATTAAATGAAGTACATTTAAGTTACGGTACATACAACCACTGAAAATCTTAATTATGAAGAATAATGGAATAGGAAAATTCATTAAGTATTTTTAAAAGGTAGAGAATATAGGTGCTGCTGCTGTGACTCAGTGGCAGAGCACTTGCCTAGCACACATGAGACACTGGATAGAGTAGAATATAAAACTGCACTATTATGATTTTTAAAAAATAAATTATTTTGCTCTTAAAAGGAAATATGCCTGTAACAATGGTTATTTCAGGATGTTATGAAACATCCTGAAATTCTCATGAATAATGAAATTAACATTGCCATAAGCAAGGAAATAAGACTATTAAATATGAAGGTGCTAAACTGTTAAAAGATTACTTTATGAAAAAACTCTTGATTTTTTTTCTTATATGGTGATTTCTTATATGCCTGTTAACTTACCATATTTTTTTTAAAAAATTATAGCCTACAGTTTTTAAAAGCCACATTTTTTAAGTGTAAACACTACTATGTAGTTTTATATCCATGCCATTTAGCATAGACTAGCACCATCAGTATATAAAATGAGAGCTTATAAGAAATGCAAGTTCTAGAACCTCACTCAAGAATTCCTAAATTATAATATGCATCTGAATAAGGTGATCTGTACATATATTCAAGTTTTTGAGAAGCAATCTTTTTATACCCAAATTTCTTCCTTATCCAAAATAGCTTTGATTTATAATATCCACAATGTTCTTTTCTTAGTCTGCTGGGGTTAACAGACATTATTTTACTTTGAAATCTGGGTTCTTATTCTAATCACCTTCATCAACTTGAGCAAGTCATTTTAACACTTATCTATATATTTTTTATATATTTTATATAAAAATATCTATATTTTTTAATATATTTTAAGTTTTATACGAAATAAAACTATTAACAGCCTGCCCAGTTTTCTTAACAGTACTTTGTTAAATGAAAATAAACCACTTTGTAAAGTGAATACAACAGAACCCGTAAGTTTTAAAAAGGACCAACAAAAAAAAATATGAAACATCCTGAAATTCTCATGAATAATGAAATTAACATTGCCATAAGCAAGGAAATAGACTATTAAATATGAAGGTGCTAAACTGTTAAAAGATTACTTTATGAGAAAACTCTGTTACTTATAAAGGGTTTTTTGGTTGTGCCCACCACCACCACCACCACCACCACTACCCCCAGGTTTCAAAAAACTTAGCCATCCTAACCAATGACTGTGTTTACTGGAAACATGCTGTACTTACACACAGACTTCCTGGATACTCCCAAGGTCTACAAAGCTTAATTAGGGAGGGCACATCTATTTAACAAGGTATTTTAGGAAGCAGGTTCCTGACCTTTTCAAATGAGAAAGTAAAGGATGTGTGCTATATACAAAATCTTTTTTTTAAAGCACTATTAATTAAAGTTTGATGGTCAAAGTATTGAACTAGGGGTACATGCCCTAATTTAAATACTAAGGATTTAAGAAGATAGTATCCTTAGCCAGGCATGGTTGCACACACAACTTGAAAGCCTGAAGTGGGAGGCCAGAGCACTGATCACAAATTCAAGACCAGCAAGGACAATCTTAGCAAGACCATCTCAAAATAAAAAGGGCTGGGAATGCAGCTATGTAGTTCAGTGGTAGTGCTTGCCAGCATATGTGAGGCCCTAGGTTCAATCCCCACCATGGCAAAAGATAGCATACTTGAATTCATATTCTAAATTACCAGAGAACATTTTGGGGGGTGGGTGGGGGGTGGGGAGGAGTCACATCTCTTTTGGACAAACATACATTATTATACAATGACATCTGACCTGGAAGAGACCAACTAACACATAGAAACATTCTTTTTATAACAATTCAGGAATTGGTTTCTTGCTGTTTCTTAATCCTTAGAAATCTAATCCACTGTCTACCACCACAAAAAATACCTCATTTCTCTGTTAGGTTTTTTTCACAACAAATAAGAAAAAGTATAACCTGCTATTCCTCACTCCCAATAACCAGCTCCACATCTGCTTATGCAAGTACCCCACTGACTTTCTCTCTCCTAATTCCCAGTTGTTTGCTCCACTGCCCTATAGTTGGGTTCTATTACAGCAACATGAGGATTCATCCAAATCAATTGGTAGTGCTTTATTAGTCATTCCCCATGGACACTGCAGACTTTAAAAAACTATCTAAATATTTGCTTGATTCAGGAAAATAAAATTAATCTACTATTTGAGGACCCCAAAATATGCATGTCATTAAACCAGTGCTATAAAAAGTAACACATGACTATCACAGCAAATGGAGTTTTATAGTAACTCTCCTAAACCTCTTATGGTTATTAAGTCCTGTATTTAACCTTCTTTGTGATGAAACAGAAATGACAGTTCATGACTACTAAATAAAATTTCATAGATCCTCAATTTCTCACAAAATTGACAAGGACTGGAAAATTGGGACTGCCAAACAAAATGCATGGAATGATCCTGTAAGTGCTGCAAATAAAAAGGGAATTTGTTTTGTTTTACTTAAGGAAACTTACCTCAGAGTAAGATTCATTTGACTACAAAAAGGAACAGACTTTCTGAGGCCTGAAGGGATTTGTACTTGAAGACACTCCAGTCAGCAGGGGATCATGTTGAGCATTCTGCAGACAGAATTGTTTCAAGTCTGCAGCTGCCTGGGAAACCTATACACAACAAAAGAAGGGGTGGGGAGATACCAGTTAGTAAAGTTTTAATGATTTTTCTCAAATCTTTGAAAATACTTGTACTGAACAGCACTTCTCTTGCCTTAGAAAAAGATAGAATATACTAAATGAAAAGTAACAATCATATACCGTCTCTTAAACATTCCTTGTAAACAAAACTATAGTATGTTCTTTTGCCTGCTTATTAAAAGTTCAGTTCAAATGATTTATTAGAAACTACTATTAAAGTTTATCTACAAAGCATAGCACTTCTTGTTTATTAGTAATAGGCTGTTCAAGTACTTAACATCTTTTTTAAATTAAAAGCTGTACATGGTATTTTTGGAATAAACAAGAACAGTCTTAACATTCTAGCAAACTATTACTTTGTCCTGAAAGCCGTGTCATTGGGGGGAAAAAAATGCTACTGTGAATGAATATAATGTGGAATAACTAGCATGGTACATCGGTCTTCAAATTTATGTTATACTCCTTTGCATTTAGAACTAAGAGAGGCCTGCCTTCATTCACATAGTTATCTACTATTTGTATATTCTGGTAAGATGATGTATTAACAAAATAAGCATAAAACCATAAATGTGCCTTAAATCTTAGTTGAGGAGCACTGCATACACATGAAAGTCACAATTGAGACAAATACAGTTTCTAAAGGCAGCCTGCTCAGAAAGGTTGTTAAAACTGAGATTTGTTATTAGCCTTTAAAGCCACATGACAAAAGGCAGAAAGCTGTCACTGCATACAATTTTGTAACATTAACAGTTGATGGTACAATAATAGCAAAACAATAAGTTGAATGGTTCAAATATAGAACTTGGATGACTATTATGCCCCAATATCCTCAATCTTGAATTGAGATTTAGGAAGACAGAAAAGAAATAATCATTTGTTTCATTCTGTCTTAGTTATTCCTAAGGACACATAGCAAATGTCCATTGCTCTGGCTATGTACCCTTTGAAAGAGTTAATACCATTACCAATGTCCCCTCCACCAAAAACCCCTGTATATTCCAAGCTGTATCCCAGACCTAGTAAAAGAATCCATCATCCTGAGAATCTAAACTCTTCTCCAATCTTATTTGTATTTGGCTTATGCAACCGTCCACAATAATGAGTTCCATGTTTATTAACTCCCATGAGTAAGAAGTATCTGCACTTTTAAAATCCTTGTAACAAGTACTTTCACAAATGGCTGTGTCCCTTCCTCACTCCACTTCCCCAAAGTGTTAAAAGTAGGGGAATGGGCATTAATCAGCTTCCACAATGTTAGAGGATTTGGTTTCATTCAAATTGACCCAGTAAGAAGACAGTGCAGTGCCTGTTTATTTTCTGTTTCAAATGTAGGTAGGGTCCAACTTAACTCCTTTTCACAAACTACTCAAGCATGGTTATGTGCCAGCTCTACTTCTAGGCACTGAGAATAGTAAAGAACATCAAGATCCCTGCTGTTTCAGTGCTGACAGTTGTGGGAAAAAGAAAAGGTTCTCTGCAGTAAAAAGAGATATCCGTTAAAAAATGACTGGGTACCAAATATTACACTGAGATGATGTGACATTTAAGCTGAGATTTCAATAACAGATCAAACCCAAAACAAGGGATCAGTGAAAATCAGCATCCCAAGCAGTGGGGAAACCTCAAACTAAAACTGGACACTGGACAAGCTGTTACCCTTCAAGGCACAATAATCACCCTCCAGAAAGTTGAAACACTAAATTGACATAACTATTAGTGTCCCTTTTCACTCTGCTGACCTACCTGTGAGAAAGTTTGTTAAGTACTTGTAATAATTTTTTCAACTGTACTCATATAAAGGTTTAAAGTAAGTTTGTGCTAGTTTTAAAATAACAGAAAAATCATCTACCACAGAGGCACTGATAAAATAGGTACACAATATGAAATAGAACCTAGACACATTTTGCAATGCATATGAGAAGACTCATTTAAAATCCCAAAGTGGGATGCCCTCCCCTCCTTGCTAAAGCCCTAACACCAGGCAGAAACTGAAAATTGCAAAACTGAATCATTTGTGGTGGTTTTAAAGATTCCTATCAAAAATCTACAGAAGAATTGGGTGTATGAGGCCAGGGTCAAGCTGTGAGTTGGAAAGGCAGCAGCTACTAGGATTTTCAAGGTAAAGGTCTTGGAGTATTTTACTCTGAGGACTCATTTTCTTTGGTGACAAAGGCAAAGCAGCACTGATATTTACTGTGTCTTTTTTTTTTTTTTTTTTCTTTTGTCTCTGATCCTTCATGTTCTTTCCTGGTACACTTCAATCTGTGATAGAGGCACACATGAATGATAATGGTTAAGAAATGGATGACTTCAAACTTCAGATCTCAATCCAGCCAAAACAGTGACGATAAACCACTGGGATGAAGTGAGAATTTGGGGATTAGAGAAATGAACAACTATGCAGTTTACACATTAGTGAGGGAGATTCCACAATAAGACCATTGGAGTTTCTCTTCCCTCCTGAGGTTACATCGACCAAGTAAGCTAGGTCTATGACATTTCTAAATAGGAGCCCTCACTCCACAAAACATTTCAGGAAGAAATACTGACTTGCCTGATGAGTTGTAAAATCAAATCATCTTGGAACCTGGCTGTTTCTAGCAGGGTAGTGATTTATAATTCCTGTGTTTCTTTTTTTCAATCACAAGTGTTTTACATGTAACCTATATATTGCACTAGAAAGAAGCCAATCTGTTTAGGATTTTAAAAATAATAAACACTTGCTACAGCACTTCCATGTCAGGTTGTCAATACCAACATCAACAAAAGATTTTTTCCCCCAAAGTAAATATCCCAAGATAAAGCCAATGCTATCGAAACATCAAAGTAAGTAAGACCAATTCTGGCCCATCCTAATCACTTTCTTAGCATGTGGACCAGTAGATACACTTAAGGTGGGATCCAAGCAAATTGCCCAGGTCTGAAATGCACGCTTTGTGCGAGATTGTAAGGGACAAAGGTAGTAAGACTCCGGAAAAGTTCGAAAACAGTTATGCAAGAAAATTCGTTTTCAATTATGTGTTCAGTGGTTTGGAGAATTTGGAGGTTAAGAACCTAGTACTAATTGGAGTAGGTCTGGTAAAGATCTGAAATGAAAAAAAGTTAATAAGTCGGCCATGAATCAAAAGTCAAAATACCCAGTCCAGAGACGAAAATCGGTGAAGGCTGGTAAAGATGGGCGGGAAGGGAAGGGCGCGGACCAGCAGCAGCTGGCAAGGCCAGCCGAGGAGTCACAGCGGAGGGAGGGAGGGAGGGAAACCGGAATGCGGGCCGCTCTTTAGCCTGGAGGCCAGCCCGCCTTGGAAAGTCCTGGGGCTGAAGGGCGGACTAAGGGGGCCCTCCCAACCACCGCGGGGATCCGCGCGGCAACTTTCCTAAAGCTGGCTGCTCCGCGATCGATGCCCGAACAGGCGTCCTCCCAGGAGAGTCACCGCGAGCCGGTCCGCCCCAGCTGGCTCGCCCGCTGCCGCCTCCCCCTACCCGGTTCGGCTGCCGCCCCCGCTCACCTTCACGCGGTTGAGCCCAGCCTCCAGCCGGAGCTGCTGAACCACCTTCTTCATAGCGGCGACGCTGGAGGAACCAGACATGGCGAATTCGAGGGCAGGGCCGACTCGTCGGTCAGAGGGTCGGCAGGTCGCGGGTCGGCCGGGCCAGACGACTGGGCAGCGCGCAGCGGGGGCGGGGCTCCGAACTTTGTCTCCAAGTTTCCGGTTCTGAGCTGGGTAACACAACCTTCGGTGCGCATGCGCGCCGCGCTTCACCTCTGGTTCTAACTCCTCGCCCTGCGGGAGCTCGAGCTTGAGGGAGCCCGAGAAGAAGGGGCGGAGCGGTCCCTGGGCGTGGTGTGGAGGCTCCGAGAGAGTCTGGCCGGATGCCGCACTCCTTGTTCCCACTCCGGGTAGGCTGACTTGGGAGAGGTAAGGAAGGAGCTGTGGTTAGCCGCCTAGACCAGAGGCTCATTGAAGAGGACCGGTGAGGGAAGTCAGACATTTGAAAGTCTCTAAAGCTCTAGTGACTGAGGAACCGGGAGGCCCCAGTTGTCCTCAGGGAGTTTGCGGCAGGAGTTGAGGGAGAGAAGGGGATAGCCCAGCGGAGGCGCAGGAGCCAGACTGCCCCGCGCGAGTCGCCCGCCCACCCGCGTAAGTCGTGTCCCGAGGTGACCCTTTGTCCAACGGCGTCCTCCGCCCGCTTCCCACCCGCGGACTCGGAGACTGAAAGGGGCGCGGAGCCCCTGTTACCCGCCCACGGGACCGGGCGGGCGGGGAAATGGGCGTTGGAGAAAAGAAGATCTCGGAATTTTTTGATTTTTGTCGCCTCTTAAACTCTCAAATCGGTTTTCTAGAAAAGGCTGTGAAGGAGCCAGGGTGCTGGCCGAAGATTACAGCTATCTCTGCCAAACCATCCCGTTGGAAGAATTCTTACTGTACTTTTTAAAATAAAACGTTTTTGTGCTTCGGGAAAGTTTGCTCTTTTTTATATTTAAGTTTTAATTACTTAATGCTTGAAATTGAACCCCCAAGGAGTTTTTAGGAGAGATGGAGGATTTAACAAAATAGGCCCGCCAATGCATCTGTCATCGTGGAAACGTGTATTGTGTCATGACGCTTAAAACAGTTGTTTTCTATTTCTGTTAAAGTAAACCATCTTCGAAAACACTGATGTTTTCTGTAAACATGAATAATTTCAACATGAATGCATTTCAATTTTTTTGTATAGTGGGAATATCATGTATAATTTTCTCTGGGTCAACAAAACCGGATTTATCTACTAAATAGAATATCCGTCCTCAAAAATGTATAGCGTAAGTTTAGCATTTTATTTAATTCTTAGATGTAATAACTGGGGCTAGGAACCAGTTTTTGAATTCTGATTTTGCTACTTACTGTGGGATCCTTGAGCAAGCCGTTTAAGCTTCACTGAGCCTCTGTTTCCTCATTTTGAAATGAAATAAAAAAAGTTTTCTGGAGTTGCTTCTAAGAATGAAATGAAATTACATAGGTAAAGAATATGAAAAATAAATATTATTTTTCCCTACTAGTATTTTAAATTACTTAATAGATGTGTAAGATAAAACACAAAACTTTCCTCAAAGAAAGTTCTATTTTTCAATAATACACTATACTTCAAAACTTAGTTAAGAAATGTGCTGGAAAGGTTTTCAAGTAATAGGTGGCCCACTCCCTTCTGTGAGAGTGAGAAAGAGTGCTGAGAAATAAGCAAAACCTATGTTGTATTTTAGGTTAAGTCTCAGAAAATGTTTCTTTTTTTTTTTTTTTTACTTCATTGGAAAAGCAGAGTGGATTGCTGTCGCAGAACACCAGGTAGTCTATTTGTTTTTGGTTTTGTTTTTTATTTTTTAGTTGTAGATGGAACAATACATTTATTTATTTGTTTATTTTTACAGGCAAGCTAGGCAAGGGCTGTACCACTGAGCCACAACCCCAGCCCATCTATTAGGATTTGATTTGGAATAGGAAAGAAGAAGAAAAAAAAGTCCATTTCAAGTTCATTGCATTTGAAGTGATTAGCATTAAATATAGTTCATGAACTACAAATCAAAGAATTGTTCTTTGACCTTCCAAAATGATCTAAAATATTTCAAGGGTCTTTACCATCCATCAGACATAGGAGTTTACATATTAGATTGTTTGGAACAGACTGTGTTGTGAAGCAATTTGACACGGAGAGATTCCTTACAACACCATACAGCAAGAAATGTTTTGTTTTGTCAGGAGAGCATTGTAAGTTTAAATTTACCTGGGATCTTCACCTTATTTAATTAGTACCCTAAGTTCTTTAGTTCACTAGCTCCAAGTTCAGTATTTGAATAAATAAAATGCTTTTAAGGTTCATGCACCTTACTTTGTAGTTTAAAAGCCAGATAAGGGTAGATTTCACAATTCTGACTCCTTTCTCAAAGAATGAGCTTATATTAGTCTGTTTTCATGGTGGCTAAGGAAATTGAGTTTGGGAAAGAATGAATGACTTGCTTATGGCCATACAGCTAGTTTATGGCAAAGAAAAGAACTTGGGTCTCCTGATGTTTACACTGTATATATAAGTAATGCATTTCTTTTTATGGAGTTGCTCATATATTGGAATAATAATTATTTTTGATATTGAAGTATAAGGAAATTTAGTTATAAGAAACAGCAAAAAGGCTTAAGATACCTAGTAATAGTGTGGTCATAAGACTCCATTGTATTTTTGGCTCAGCTTGTATGGATAGTAAAGCCCATTTTCAGTAAATGAAGTACAATTAAATACCCTTTATTTTTAAAATTTATTTTTTATTTTTTTACCTTACTATATTACCTTCACCTTGTGCTTTTAAGCATCCTGCAAAGGCCTGTGTGCTAATGGCTTGGTAGCGGTCTGTGGCATTATTCTTAAAGTGGAACACTGGGGAGGTGAACCTAATGGAAGGAAGTTAGATAATTGGGGATATGTCCTTGAAAGGGATATTGGGACTCTTGGGACTCTACCCCTTCCTCTCTGACTTCCCAGCCACCATGAGATAAATACTTACATTATGTGATCCTGCCTTGAGATACTGTGCCAGAGGCCCAAAGTGACATGGCTAAGTGATCATGGGCTGAAACTATGAGCCAAAATAAAATTTCTTTTTAATTAGTTGATAATCTCAAGTATTTTGTGATAGTATTAGCTGACAGTTAAGTAGTTATAATTCTAATTTTAAAAATGATAGACTTATTTTATCTCTGTTGATCCTTTTGAAAGACTTCCCAAAAGGTACATGGAGAAGTGAAAGAGCAGTTTTTCATCAATGGACTTATATAAGATTCAAAAACACTGTACTCCTTCATAAACAGAGGGAAATTTATTCTTTCTACTTCTCATAAATCCATGCTTATGCTTCTTTTGTGCGCTAACACTGTGTTAACTATGACCTTCAGGAAGAATAAGACAAGACTTTTTTTTCTGTATTCTGCTTTATATTTGAAGCTGAATTATTTTCAGTCTTAAACTTTTTCTATTTTTAGAGTATAAACTTGGAGATACTCTGTAGCTAGGTATTCAAAAGAGAAGCATAATCAAGTTTTACGCTGGGCAAGAAGATGCTCTATTCTTTTAAAAACTTAAGTTGTTTTTTAAGTTGGGTAAACAAATTTGCTGAAAATGTCCTGTTGCTATTTTATGATTATGAAAATTAAACTTGCTCAAAAGGCATTGAAGAGCTATGTGGAGGAAACATTCCATAATTCCTTTTCAAACATTCTAATTCTAATATCATTCTGTTAATTTCTATCAAACCCTCTTTCATCTAAAATGCCCTTATAAATCTTGGGCGAAATCCCAAATCAAGAAAAGTGTGTAATTTTGTCTATACTAGGATCTGTATGGAAAATAGACTAATTCCTCAATTGTTCCTACCAGGGCTAAGGAACCTAAATGTATATAGGCTCTAGAGGGCTCTCGGGCATTTTAATCTATTTACCTAAAATCTATTTACCCTTTAAATGAATTAGAACTTAAATAAAGTTAAATTACCATTAGATGTTTACAGGTTAACTACGACCTAGACAATGTAAAACTCTAAGAACATAGATATAATATGAATTTATCCTGAGCAGATAGACCTGACCCTTGATGATTTAAAAATCAAAAATTATGTCAATAAGGACTCCCATCACCTGACCTGAGGTTAACTATATTCTGATTTCTCTTTTTGCGCAGTAGAACTATCCCTCTCACTTTTGGCATTCTTTGAGCAATCAATCAACTAGTCAAAAGAACTTTAGAGTTGCACATATGGTGTCCCACTACATCATGTACAATCAGAGAAATGAAAAGTTGTGCTGCAGTTGTGTACAATGAATCAAAATGCATTCTTCTGTCATTTATACCTGATTAAAATAAATAAATTTTAAAAATAATAACAAAAGGGGTAGGGATGTCACTCAGTATTAGAACACCTGGGTTCAATTCCCATTACTAGAAGACAAAATTAAAAAAAAAAAAAATGGTATCTAGTAGGATTTCAAAGGGCTGTAATCAGTACCAAATCAAAGGAGTTTTAAGTTTTGTTAGATTTACATAACTATTTTAATATAAGCCAATGAAGCCATACTTTGGAATCTTAAAAAAAGCTTCAGATGTGATGTTGGTATGATTAGTACATTCTTAAGGATGGAACCACTTTGATAATTCCTTTTTAAGATAATTTAGCTACTTTATTTTTCAATTTTTATTATATATTTATGTGTTTTAAATTTTATAATTCATTATTTTAAATTGCAATAAATACTCTGAGGACAAAACAGAAAATAATACACAAATGATGCTCAATATATAAAAGACAGGTATTTTCATCTGGACTGATTGTTACATACAGCCATTTGTATTTAATCTTTTCACTCCAAAAGTATATTTCTATGTTATGTAAAATACATTTAATATACAAGATTAGACAAATTTTTAATAATTTGTTCTAGTTATACATGACAATAGAATGCATTTTCACATTCAACCTTAACTTTTGACTCCAAAGAAAATGAATTGTTTAGAATAGTAAAATATGTTTTTGCCAAAAGTTCATTACAACGTAACTTACCAGTTAGTTTCCTTAATCATCCTCAACTTAGGATGGGGTTACATCCTGATAAAAGTTGAAAATAGAATACACTTAATACACTTAACCTACTGAATATTGTGACTGAGCAACACAGTACATTGTCAAGTATCAACTATTTATCTTTATAATCTTGTGACTGGGAACTATAGCTTATTGATCCTGCCTAGCATTGCAAGAGAATATCAAACCATGTATTGCTAGCCCAGGAAAAGATCAAGATTCTAAATTTGAGGTACAGAATTGCTTTTGCATTGTTGTAAGTTGGAGGACCATCCATAGAATATACACTCATTTCATTGCAATTACCAGTCTGTTCATTAGTGATTTTTTTTAATTGGAATAATAAGATTGTATATATTCCAAGTTTTCTTTTGGAGTCTACTTTAAAGGTTTTATATTTTTCTTTTCACTTTTTGAACAAATCAGAGACCAGAAATACATGGAATGCTATTTTAAATAAGCCAAAAGTGTATTATAAAATTAATTTAATACTGCTTAAATGAAGAGAGAGAAAAAGACAAGAAAAAATCCAGCTGTTCAGACATTGGTGAGTATGTCTCACAATCCAAGTCAGCCTTCCTCATCAGAGGTAAGAAAATAATGTCTATCATTGTTTTTGAAAAGTTGATAAAGCAAAAATGAATTATATAAAGTATTAGAAATTGATTGCACCAGAGTCCCAACTTCATGTATCCTATTAACTGATATTACTATTTCATCTTTAACTCACTTTCTCTAGTAATCTAAGTTGAGACCTACAATGAAGTGATTCTATCACCTTTTTTCCTCCACTATTACCCAACTATGATGCCCTCCTTAGGCTTGAATTTCATACAGTCTTGGTCATTCTTGACTCACACTTTGACTCCTTGCCCCTCTCTTGTTCTATTCTACTCCTTTGCAAAATAACAACCTAGTTGATTCATTTCTCTACCTATTCTGCACCTATTCCTTAGTAACTAAACATGAATGGATAAAAATAGACCAGTATAAGGACCATTCCCACTTTAAATTCATGACCAGTAGAATCTTTTGCTTTTAGGCATTCATACCCTTTGTCACTTATTCATTCACTCTTCTCTTCAACACAAGTGTTTCATACCTTCTCAAATCCCTAATACCTTTTCTCCATTCTCTCTTAAACCAATTCCAATCAATCCTTCACCTTTCACAAAACTTTTCTTGCTAAAGTCACCTCTTCATTACTAAATCTAACCTCTTAAAATTGGATTATCTCAGGATTCAGCTCTTTGTTCTCTCTGCACTCATTACATGGTGGTCTCATCCAATCTAGTAGATTTAAATACCAACTTTATGGTAAGGATTTATACATTTTTATCATCATCCCAGTCCTCTTTCCCAAACTCCAGATTCATGTCTACATATATTCAACTGACTACTTGACATCTCTCTTTGGATGATCAATAGACATTTCAAATATAACATATCTGATAGGGAATCTTTCCCTTCTCCTGGAAACTTGCACTACCTGTGGCTATTACCATCTCAGGTGATTGCAAATCTATTCTTTCATTATTTGAGCCCAAATGCCTTGGAGTCATACTTGATTCTTCTTGCATACATGACTCCTACTTGAGTCTTTTCTCCCAAACTCTACATATACACAAAATTTGACTACTCACCTCTACTGCTAGCATATTAGTCCGTGTCACCATCCTCTTACACTTTAGTTACTCTAATAGTTTCATAATAAGTTCCTTTTTTTTTTTTTTTTTTTGCCCCTTACAATCTATTTTGGCTATTATTGCTTTAACCTGTTATCAAATGTAGAAATACTTTACAGTAATTTGTGTCTCATGGTGTAATGCAATATGAAATATAAGTCACCATTTGTAAAATACTCTTGCCTCGGATGGATAACTTGTGTCATTAGAAGGCTGTACCATTGACTATTTACAGGAGTTAAAGGGGTTGGAGAAATAAATGCCACCTTAAAGACAATGAGGTAAATTCATTCTATAAGATAATTGGCTCTATCACTTTAAAAAACTTAATGTAACAGGGCTGGGGTTATGGCTGGGGATCTTATATTTGCCTAGCATGTGCAAAGCTCTGGATTCCACCATCATCACCACACACACACACACACAAAAAAAAAAAAAAAAAAAAAAACAAGAAAAACAGAAAAACAATCTCAATATTTTGAAGAATCAATTGAGATTTTTTAAAACATAACAACTAAAAGCAATATGTTATCCTCAACTGAATTCTAGGTTGAAAAAATATTTTGTGGACAATTGGAGAAATTATAGATTTGATATTAGTCTACATTAAGGAATAGTTAATTTTCTTTATGTGAAAATGGTATTGTGACTGTATTAAAGAAGTCCTTGCTTTTAGAAGATGGATACCAAAGTATGAGTATGTCTAATTTACTTTAAATATTTTATTGAGAGAGAAAAAAAGAATTAACAAGAAAAATGTTAACTTTTGAATCTAAATCATATTTATATTATTTGAAAATTCATAATATTTTTACTTATGTATATAAAATATATGCATCAAATTTTTCATAAAAAATTATAAAATATGTCAGGTCTTGCCATGCTTCTATTAAAACCCTGCACTGGCTTCCTATCTTGTAAGGTAAAGACTTTTAAATGGCTCAGAGGCCCTACTTAATTTCTTCCCCTTACCTCCTTTTTTCTCTTTTATCTCCTACTATTCTTTTCCCACTCTCTCTTCTTCATTTATACTGGTACTCATAATGGTCATCTTAAAGCCTTTGGTTTAGCCCTTCCTGGAACTCTATTTCTTCCCTTGACTAATTCATTCTTTCCCTTAAATCTTTACTCAGTTCCCACCTTTTCCCTGAAATCTACTATAAATATTCTTTGTAAAACTGAAGGCTTCTCTATCCCTTATCCTCTCAATTTTCCTTACCTTGCTCTTATTCTTTTTTCCTAGTAATTACCCCTCTCTTATACAGTATATAACCTATTAGTGCTTTGTATTTATTGATTTTTGTCTATATCCCTCACAGAACCAGGACTAGTCTAAGGCAAATTAAATACTTGCTGTGGGTGCAAAATTTAAGGGGGCATCAAAAATTCAGTAAATCAAGATAAATATTTTAATACAATATTTTTTAAGTTAAATTTATTTCAAAAAATTCGTGGTGAACAAGATAATGATATTTTAAATAGACACAATCTAACAGTACTATGCATAGCAACTTTGAAGTCTAAAATTTAAAAAAAATGTACCCTACACATATATATATGCCTTCTAATTACTTAAGTAGTTAATGATTTTAATAAAAATATTATTGATGAGTTGCTTCCAGAAAGCCAGAACATAAAATTATGATAAATTATGGTTTTAGTATAAATAAAATATTTAACCTTAAAATATATAAACTTTTAAAACTTGCAGTATTTTTCAACTACTTTCTTGTTATAGAAATATAGCACTCTTATAATATTGCTATAATGTTATTATAATATAATGTTATAATTACTATAATATTGCTATAATGTTATTGTTATAGTAAACTCATTGAATTATTATTTAGAAATATATATATATATAAATGTTTAGTTCAAGAAATATTTCTCTCCTGTGACATATTAAAACATTTATATAAAAATAAAATCATATTTACTTCAAACTTGTTAAGGTTTTACAGATACTTAATAGTATAGCTAGGGAATAATCTTTCACATACTCTGCAGTTCAAAATGCAAAATGTGGCAAATTTTATTATCTGATCTATGCAAACATTTGAATTGTTGGTTTATTTTTCATATATCAAAAATATAGAAGTAATTTACTTGGTAAAACTTGAGCAAAACCTTTAGTTCAGGGACCATTTTTATGTCTAATAAAAATTACTAATATTAATAATAATAATAGGTCATATTAAAACTTTTAAAGTTTTCTCAGATATTTAATATTGCAGTTAAAGTAAAATGATTTCAAGGCTTTCACGTTTAATATGCAGTGAGTATCAACCTTCCTTAGACTAAAAAAATTGAGACTGCAGTAATTGTTTCTGTTCTAGCCATCTAACTATTCTAAACAGAAGATTTCTAATTAGAGCCATAACAAAACATTAACAGAGAATTAGTTTTATACAAGCACAGACAAGCTTACAGTCATCCCCTACATCAAGAATAGATTCTTCCTGGAACTCTGGGAAGCAAATATGTTCCTGACAAACCACAGTATGAACCCTTTTGTAGGTGCTAAAAGCAAAGGATTGTACAAGGTCACTCTAGTGGAACTGATAAGAGAGAAGTCAGGGAGAGATAAAGATTGGTGATCAGAAAATTGATCTTTACCATATAGTATTCTTACTACAGGCCACAGACAAAAACACCATTCATCAAGGATATTGAGGTACTCTAGAAGCCAAGCCACATCTATGACAGTGTTTCCAAAGGAAATGTATTCCAGCTGGGGTTGTGGCTCAGTGGTAGAGTGCTTGCCTGGCATGTATGAAGCTCTAGATTTGATCCTCAGCATTACATAAAAATAAATAGATAAAATAAAGGTATCATGTCCATCCAGCTTAAAAAAACATATTAAAAACCCATAATGATCCAATTATACAATATTATCTGTCTGCTTTGAGCTCCTAGCACTGTGACTGGTATCTACTATGGGACTTAAATATAAATTTTAAAAAAGGAAAGAAATGTACTCCAAACGAATATTTTGGGGTTCTTCATTTTGTTTGTGGGTTGTTTTTGTTTTGTTTTATTTTGTTTTGTCTGTATGTTCAGAGGGATACATTATTCCATGTTTATTTCAGTTGTGTTTATTAAACTTAAAATTCTATAGGAGATCAATTGGGTTTTTTTCAATTTTAAAAACATTTTAATTGATATTCTTCTCATTCAGTTGGTGGAACTTCATGTTTTTTATGTCCCTGAAGGATCGTGGAACTATAAGTTAAATACTATTTCAATAGAAGTTATTAACAAATTTATTTCTGCTGGATTTATAAGGCAAGTATTTTGTGCATGTAACAAAATACCTAAAAAATATTTTTTTCTGCAGAGAAAAATATTTCCTAGAAATTTAAAAGTTGTAAATGAAAAATATTTTGCCCATGTCATGGACCCATTCCTAATTTAATGAATATTGACAAACAGTACTATGTAGTAGTTAAATCAAACATAGCTGTAGGAATAGATGTCATTTGACCATAATATGCCACCCAGAGAATAGTGTATAATGTGTAAGAATTAAGGAACAAATTATCTAAAATTAAAAATCTGATGAAGAGCTGTGAATAATGGTTACAGCAATATGTCCACTGTTATTTTCTTAGAATTCTTTAAAAATATATGCAAAAGACTTGCATATGCAAGACTCTGAGTTCAATCTCTAGCATGGCAAAAAATAAAAATATAAACAAAGAACATAATTAAATGTATATATATATATCTATATTTATATGTGTATATGTGTATTTTCAAATTCACAGAAACATGACACATGATCTGACCTCCTATTGTTAACGTCACCTAGTTGAGTGCCTTTCTTCTTTATTTCCTCATCACTTTTCCAATCCTATTAGTTTCCTTTCTGTTCTAGAGCACATCAGAAATGGCCCTACCTCAAGACTCTTGTACTTTCTGTTCCTTTTGTCTAGAATACATTTTCTGCCCTTACCCTCTTATCTCATTCAGTTCTGTACCCAAATATGACTTGTTTGTGTATATATTCTTTGATCATTGTATTTTAAATAACAGCTACAGTCTCTTTTCCTTTTCCCTGCTTTACTTACTTAGCAGTATCTTATCAATTATGTTTTTTACTATGTATTTTGCTATTTTTCTTTCCCATCACTAGATTATAAAAGCTATGAGGGCATATATTTTTGTATGTTGATTGCTGTTCTCCCATCCTTTAGAACAATGTGACACATAATAGGTGCACAATAAATATTTGTTGATCAAACAATTGTTCACTGAATGAATTCTCTAATATTTCCCATAATATATCTTTTAAAAAACAAGTACTTAGAACAATGACATAATATTGTCTTTAAATTTTAGACATTGAGAAAAGGATCCCTAATGGGCAAATGTAGTAGAATCTGACAGCATTGATCATTAAACACATTTTAAGCACTAGCTACTCCTGTTAAACTTCCAAAATAAATATCTATGCCTAAGTCATTCTTTAATATATATGTAAAAGCATATAAATTACACGGAAATTTTGTTTTAGTCATAAAATTTGGAAGTGGAATAGCAAAATAGACAATCATTTTCCTTTTCAGTATTAAAATGACTTTTATAAATAGTATTCGTTTGCATAATTTTAGAAGATAGACTTAATCATTTACTTTGAAAAATATTTGCTTAAGATTATAAAGTGCTAAGCAATGTAGAAATGTAATATAGTAAGCTCTGTCTGATAATTAAATCAACATTTATGTTTGAGATAACTAACATTATTAAACCATTAATATATCCAAACTCTTTATTTCTTTCTACCTCATATAAGGCAATTTTATTACATTTCAGAGTATCTCCTCAACTTACTTTACAAGCCCTGAGGTTGCGACTTGGTGAGTTCCTTGGTGAAGATGCTGTTGCAGAAAAATTTTTATTCCTGAAATGCATTGGAAATAATTTAGCTGTGGTAAGAGTTCTTATTTTTTTTCCTTCTGATTAAAGAAAAGCATTCATTATCAAATTATGTATCTTAAATGCTTGTGAACTCAGCTTCTTAACATACTGTAAGACATGTAATCTTAATTATAAAATATCACTAAGCACATAGATCATGAAAAATGGATCTCCTTGGCATGTTACCAGGCACTAAAATGGTGGGATGTGTCAATTTCCTTGAAAAGGAAGACAAAGTTAACTAATAATATCAATAATATATATTGTTTTTAAACAATGTTTTTAAAAAGTACTTGTGTTGTAGCGAAAACAGGGTTCTTTTTTATTTGGGTCACAACTAGCCTTATTGTTTTTAAAATGACAATGGCCCCAATATATTTTTTGGTGTTAGCTATTACCTACTGAACACTTCTATTGGTAGTTTCTGTAATCTGATGGCAGGATATTCTAAGGGAGGACATTTTTAACTAAAATTTCCAATCTCTCAAGCCATCAGACATCAAAGTTTCTGATTTATCCTGTCTATATATAAGGTTTATTTCTTTAATCAAGATTGTCAACATTTAAACTTCAAAATGTAGTATATTCATATGCCACTCAAGTTAACATATTATGTCATTGCCAAGTGTTCATTGATGTGATTATTTAATATTTAACTCTTATCATTAGATTTTAGTCCTTTGTGAGCAGGGACTTTATTTACCATTGTATTTATAACCAGTGCCTAACAAAGGTTTAAATCTTTATCAAACAAATTAAGTAATGAATGATAATGGATAATAAGTCTCTCCCACCCAAAGTACTATTATAATTTGCAATGTAGGATTCTTAGATCAGTAGCTAAATTTAAAGATGTTTTTGTTATTGGGGTTCTATTTAGTATGCCATAATATTAATTTACTGATTGTTAAATTAGTTCTCCTCAGAGAAGAAAGGGAACATAATTTTTTGTTCTTTTTTTATTATATGTAAATTTATAAAATATCAACCACAGAATCCCAAGCTGGGAACATAAGTGTAACTTAGATCAACTTCTAAAATCCTTCTAATATTTTATTTTAAACAAATATTTATTGATATTTTATTTTCTAGAAAGCCAAAAAATGGATATGAATTCTTCCCTTAAAGTATGTTCAGTGTAATGGTAAAATAAGTGGTGAAGGTAAAATATTATCTATAGTCACAGAAAAGAAAAAAAAGATTTTTTTCAGCAGAGGAAAGCAGAGTAGAGAAATTTGAGGAAGAAGCAATATGTAAATTTGGATTTTGAAAGAAATATTTGGTCTTGTAAAAATAAAGTGTGTGAATGGCTTTCTGAGTAGAGAAAATAAGATGAGCATGGAAGTAAGAAAGCAGGCAACTAAGAAAGAATTGATTCATTTCATTAAACATTAGCTGTGGGAAAGGGAACAGTGCCTGGCACAAAGTGACTCCATGTAAGATAGCCATAATTATTATTATTAAGTGACATAGAATTCCTATTATGTTGAGTGTGCAGTGAGAAAAGTTATGAAGTACTTTGTTGAATATCTTGAATGCCAGACTAAAAGTTTGAATTTTTTTTTTCTGAAATCTTGAGTTTTTCAGCAATAGAGTTACATGAGGGCTGGGGTTGTGGCTCACATAAAAATAAATAAATAAAAATAAAGACATTGTGTCTACCTACAACTAACAGAATGCTTTAAAAAAAATAGAGTGACATGATGAGAGCTTTCAGTACAATAATTGGGTCTCACTGAGAAGTAACAAGAGACTAGAGACAGGGATTCCAGCAAGAAGGCTTTTACAGTGGTTCAGGCAAGAGATAAGGAAAAACTCAGATTTCATCTACTACCATCTTCTCCTTGGTTCTCTATACTTCAGTTCCAAACATCTTACTTTGGTCCTTACATATAACAGACATCTCTGATTTACGGTCCTTGCACTTACCTTGCAATCACTTTCCCTGAGTTTTGGATAGCTGGCTGCTCTTTGTAATTCATTCGAGCTCAAATACATAATCTTTTCAAAAGGACTTTTCTTGACCATCCAGTTTTTAGAACTTTTTTCTCCAACTTACTCTTTATTATATCACTCTGTTTTATTCTCATGAGTCATATATCACAATCCTAAATTGTTTTTTTAATTTAATATCTGCTTTCACAAGTAGAATGTGAGGTCTACGAGAGCAGTGACTTTGTCTTATTTATCATTGTATCCTCACCAAGTAGAACACCTGACATATGGTATATCTTCAATATCTGCTAAAATAAATAAATTGAAAGCAAACTATAGGGGTAGACTATATGGGAAATAAGTCTACAAAATTGGACTCTGGAGTGATTACCAGGTTTTGAATCCTAACTTGGAAACTTCTATTTATAAAATCTTGGGCAAGTTACTTAATTTCTTTTTGCTTCAGTCTCCTCTGTTAACTATAAGTAATGTTAGTGCCTATCACATGAAATTGTTGAGGATTAACTGAGCTAACATATGTAATAACATAAAACAGTGCCCGGCACAAAGTGACTCCATGTAAGATAGCCATAATTATTATTATTAAGTGACATAGAATGGGTGTGCAATGAGTATAATGAGGATTAAATTCTACATTTTTCTAAAATATAGCCATAGCTATTAGTTTTTAAATTTGACTTATATCATACAGATATATGCTTTTTACAAAAAAAGTGGAGGTAAAAATAATTGGAAAATTTCACAAAAGCTCTTATTTTTTTCTCATCCATTTGTTTCTAGGTGAAAGAAAAGCAAGAACCAGAACTGAAACTCAAATCATTTGCTCCTCCATACGTATGTAATGTGACATTTTAAATTGATGCTAATTTTAATTGTTTTTTTAATTATAAACTAATTTTTAAATTTTCCTATATGTTTTAGGCTCTTCAACCAGAATTATATTTGCTTCCTGTAATGGACCATTTAGGAAACGTTTATTCAGCATCATCATCAGTTACTTTAGATGGGCAGCAGACTAATAGTGATATTGCTGAAATTGATGGAACAATCCATAGACCAGTTAGTGCAACTTTGTCAAAGGAAGAACTTGGAAAGGATCCCAATTTCTTAGAAAACACTTTGAAAGACCTTATTAACACGAATCAGGAAGAAGGTGATTTCAATTAAAATGGGAACAACAAAGAGGTTATTTTAAGTCCATGTGTTTTCCAAAGTGGTTGTACTCAGTATCTTAGTACATAATTCAGGACCACAGTGTAAATTAAAATACCACTCAAAGCTTTATGGAGAGTAATTGCCCACTTCAGTAGCCACTTGACCTTATACTCTGTTCAGGAATACTGGGATTCTACTTTGGATATTTGTTTCCCAGATATCATTTTCTTGAGCCTTTAAATGACATGTCCAGACAAAGAAGAAGGTAAAGATTCTCACTGAGCATCTCACTGGCATCAATAAACAGTAAATATTAGTGTGCCTAAGATTAAAGAAAGTGCCAAGTTTGAAACATCATCAAGTCCTAAACTTCCTATTGAACCATAATCTTGCCATTATATCAGATATTTTATATCTCCTTGTTTCTGTGCTCCACATTCTGAATAATTTCTTTAGATTTGTTTACTGTTTTTTAGGTATTTAAAAATATTTCTATATTATCTTCTGGCTTGCATAATTTCAGATGATAGGTCTACTGTATTTTTATTTTCATTTCTCTTTTTTCCTCTGCTGTCTTTAAGATTTTACTTTGATTTTCAGCAGTATGATTATATATATATATATATATTACTTTAATTTTATTCAAATCTTGATTGGCGTTCTCTGCATTATGCTTTTACTGTTACAAAGATCAACAGATACATGTCCTATACTCTTACCAAAATGTACCGTGATATCTATTGAATTTTGTATCATTGTTTATTTTGATGGGGCATGGAGAGGGAATGGTAGGTATATCCATTTTTTATTTATTTAGCATTGAATAAATCTTTTATAAAAAATTCTTTTCATTAGACTAAATAATTTGGCAATGCCTGCTAGGAAATAAATTATAGTGGCCAAACTGAATTAAACGAATGTGGGCTTCAGGTTGCAAAATAGTTTGACAACCTTTGCAAAATGACTTCTCAAATATTAATTTGACATTTTTTTCTAAATTAAAAAAATTTATTTCTGGGGGGTGGAAATCTACATGAATGCTGCTAAGTTCATGGATCTTATGTTAATGTATAGATCATGTGGTTCATTAATGTTAATGATTAAAAACAACTCAAATGGAAAATGCTACTGAAATGAAGGGAGATTCTATAAATGAAAATTTATGTGATATTTTATGCTCTTTATTTATACAAACATTTTCCAGGAAAAGAGTTCCTCAGAAGACTATTTCAAAAGATGCTTTTGGTAAAAGGTGTCCTTTTTTTTTTTTTTAAGAAATACATGACAGTAGAGTGTATTTTGACCTATTATACATACGTGGAGTACAACCTATTCCAGTTAGGGTCCCATTCTTGTGGGTATACATAATGTGGAGTTATACTGGTCATGTATTCACATATGAACAAAGGAAACTTATAACCAGTTCATTCTACTGTCATTCCTATTCCCATCCCCTCTTCCTTCCCTTCATTCCCCTTTGTCTAATACAGTGAACTCATATTCTTCCCCTCCCTACCTTCCCTTGTTGTGGGTTAGCATCCACATACTAGAGAGAACATTTGGCCTTTGGTTTTTTTGGGATTGGCTTATTTCACTTAGCATGATGGTCTCCAGTTCCATCCAATTACAGGCAAATGCCACAATTTCATTCTTCTTTATGGCTGAATAATATCCCATTGTATATGTATATCACATTTTCTTTATACATTCATCTGTTGAAGGGCAATAAGGCTGGTTCCATAGCTTTGCTATTGTGAATTGAGGTGCTGTAAACATTGATGTGGCTGCATCCCTGTAGTATGCTTATTTTAAGTACTTTCAGTAGAGGCTGAAGAGTGGGATAAATGGTGGTTCCATTCCAAGTTTTCTGAGGAATCTCCATGTTGCTTTCCACAGTGGTTGCACCAATTTGCAGTCCTACCAGCAATTTATGAGTGAATCTTTTCCCTCACATCCTTACCATCATTTATTGTTACTTATGTTCGTGATAATTGCCATTCTGACTGGAGTGAGATGGAATCTCAGTGTAGTTTTAATTTGCATTTCTCTAGAAATACAAATGGTTAAAAGTATCTTGAAGACAAAGTTTGGGTAGAGCCCACTTTACTTCCTCTCTCAGAGTCATGTTGCTCATAGAAAACTTCTGCAATACAGTTGCTTGTGTGTGTGTATAAGGGAGTTGTGTGCCTGTTTAGTGTTGTTTAATTCATTGTCTCCCAAACTGAGCTGACCAAAGAATTTTCTTTTCACATAAATTAATGTTTCATGAAAAACACTTTGTAAATTGTTACCTGTTTTCTATATAGTAAAGTTCATGAGGAATATGAAATATAGGACATGATTGTAATGTATACATAGAAAATTTTATTTTAGTATTTTCTGAATATTCTGAACTTTTTTTTATCATGCATACACATCAACATCAGCTGAGGAAATAGCCACTCCAAAAGAAAGCCAGATTGTAAAATATCACATTGGAAATTCTGAGTTACCAGGATCATTGGAAAATTCAAATGATTATTTTACCAACAAAAAAAGGTGATTAGTACAGATGCTGATTTCACATGTTATAATCTAAACTATAAGAAAAAGAATGTGATGTCCAGACTACTGATATAAAAACTTTTAATTGGAACAAAGATATGATTGAAATTATTGATCTTTAATTATAATTACCTTGATTCTCATATTTATTGTTATATATGAATGTTCCTCTCCAATATAATGAGGGATGATTTATTAAGTTTATTGATATTGTGGTCTTTTTGTCATCAGGGACAATTGATGACAGAAAAATTTCTCTTTGTTTTGTCTTTGTTTAGGACTAATTCTTCTACCTCTCTTAAATTCTTGGCTACAGATAAACTAATCAGTATATCTGAGTTTTACATTGCCATCATTTCATTAAAAATTAGAGTACTTAGATAACAGTTTTGCTTATAGTCTTTTGAAATTTTGATGAGGGTTTTATTCACAAACTATAAAAATATATTTCTAAAATTTTCAGTTACTTTACTTTGTCAGAGACATTGGACTATGATTTGAATTTAGCTATGGTATAATGAAATATGATTTTATTAACTCATACTAAATGTAGTTTATGTTAATCATTAAGAGTTTGAGAGAAAATATGATAATAACTCCAGGCTTTGTTGTTTTAAAGTGATGAAATTTAAATATGTTTCCCCGGCTGGTACTAAACTCCTGGGCTTAAGTGATCCTCCTACCTCAACCTCCCAAGTAACTGGGACTACAGAAGCACACCTCCCACCCAGTTTTCAGGCTGATTTAAAATTTTTAATGTTATATTTGGATTTATATACACCAAATAAAATATGTAAAATATTCATATGTGAATATGAAAGTTAATATTCATGGAATTATATTTTAATATGACTTTCAAATCTGTCCTTTTAAGTCAGTTTCTTTGGAAAAATGAAGAAGATACAACCAACAGTAGAAGACAGGACAGTCAGGTATGATTTTAAAATTTTTATTTAACTTCAGCATTATATCATAATATTTATACATATAGAAATTGAAATTATACTGAAGATTAAGATAAAATTTAAGTTTTCTGATTGTAATACCAGAAAACGTCTATTTTTCTAATATCAATACTGTCACTGGTAGTCCAGCTTTTGCTTTTGCTTTTATGCCTGAATGAGAGAGAGGATAAATTAGGTTATCCACCAAAGACTTTTTGGATTTTCATCTCAAATGTTATTACTACTTTTAAGGTACACTGACCTTTACCTAACTGGCAACTTCAGTAGCTAAATTGTAATTTAATATGTTGATACCTGTCTTTGATTAATTCATCTCTTTAGAACAGATTTCTCTAGTGTGTTTCTAGGAAGTACAGTAGTAGGTGGTTAGTACCAGTTACTAGCTCTATGGCCTTGGATATGTTATCTAATTTGAATAGTAATAGTTTAAAGGAGTTAGCAAACGCTGTTCCACATCACCAGCTCATTCTCTAGAAATGGAGAAACGGGAGAATTTTGAAAATATTTGTAGGATTAATTTAGCTGCTAAAAATACTAGTTTTAATAATAGCTAACAATGAGTCCCAACTAACTGTCACTAAGTGTTTTACACATTTTGATTCATTTAATCCCCCAAAACACCCTATGAGCCAGGTCATGATTATCATCTCCATTTTACAGATGAGGAAACTGAGGCACAGAGAGATTCAGTGGCTTGCTCAAATCATAAGTACAGCTAGTAAATATTGGAAAGGGGATTAGAGGTGTCAGGGTCTAGGCTGGCTCTAGAATTCATCTTTTTATAACAACTCTAAATAATAATAACAATCTAGCAACAACTAATTATATAACATTTATTGAGCTAACCACTGTTCTAAATGCTTTTCATATGTTAGTCCATTTAATTGAACAACTTTTTAAGAAGGTTCTATTATCTACCTTTCAGATCAACAAACTAAATTACAGATTACATTAACTTTTCCATGGTTATAAGTCTTTCCTACTCATTCAGCAAAACTCCAACACTAGTTTACAAAACAACAAACCTCAAATGAGTCTTTAATTCTGCCATACACTATGTATTCCTGATCCATTGCTACTCTTCTAAACAACTCTGCCATATCTTCTCTCTTTTTAAAATTTCTTTAAATTAATTAATTTTACAGTAGAATGTATTTTGACACATAGTACATAAATGGAGCACAACTTCTCATTCCTCTGGCTGTGCATGGTTCAGAGTCAGTGTAATCATATATCGTACTTCTCTTCAAACCATCAATACCTCCTTTCTTTTGCAACCTGTGATAATTTGTCCTTGCAAAAATAAGAGAAATTTGAAGAAAATCACGACATCTCAATGTACAGAATGAAGTTGGAGTTGAAGTTCAGTTTTTCCTCAGATATCCAGTTCTTCTCCGTGATTTGTTGATATTTTATTTTTCCTTTTGTGTTACTCAAAAAGCAACTGACCATAAATAAGGTCTTAGACAATTTCTGGTCTCCTTTTCTGTTCAGTGATCTTTTTTTCTGTCTTACACCAGTACTATACCACCTTCATTACAGAGGCTTTATAGTAGTTTTTTGTTATCATATAGCATAAGACTTCCATATGAATTGGCTTCTTGCTTTCTGCCTAGTTCTAGTGATGGCCTCAAAGATAGTAATTTCAGTAATGGAAAAGTCATTCCAGGGGAGCAAACCTAGAACCTGCTCCTTCAGTCTTTCTGTTGCACTTAATTTCCTTTATAAAATTCCTTCCTGTTTAAACTTGTGCTGAACTGATTCAGTATTTGATATAGAAAGTGAAATATGAGAAACAAACTCTTGAAAATGAGAATCTCAAACTTGTTATTACAAAATAATTACAAAATTTTGCTAATTTGTGCTAGTAGAAATTTAGAATATTACTGGGAATAGATTAAGACCAGAAATGAAGGACTATAACTGTTGATTGATGCAATTTTAAAAGTATGGGTATACTCATCAGAGATTCTGAATTTAATGTGCTAGCTTAAGCAGTTGTGAGTGGTAAAAAATATTTTGCTAAATTGACAAATAGGTTGACAAGAACCTGGACTATATGATAACTATGCTAAATAAATTTAGAATGCTAGAAATTTCTTGGAAAAATGAGAGCAAGAAATGCAAAGATGTCAGGAGATAGCAACTGGTTTTCATAGACCCCTTCTTCCATTTAATCAAATGGTAAGGAATATATTGGAATGGCAAGCCCAGCATTCTTAACAAAACCCTATAATGACAGTTTTATGTGGACTGAAATGAAGACAGGAATGTATTCCTTGGTTTCCTTAGAGATCACAGGATTTGAGTGGCTAATTTATACCATTTTACTTTACAATAAAAAGCTGTACCAGAATGATTATAAGGATGTTTGAGAAATCCTTAACAATAAAGATTCAAGGTATCCTTAATACTAATTGATCATGGTGTTCCTCAGAATTCAATGGGCAAGTGCATCAGTAAGTTCTTTATCTGTGTAATCAAAACTTATTTTGTTTTAGCAAATGGAGATCTACCTGGAATAACCATATCCCCTTATTGATTTACCATTCTTCAACTAGTTTACATACCTAAAGCCCCTTGAGTGAAAGAGAGGCCAGGTATTCTTCAGGAGAGACCCTATTGCCCAGCCACAAGTAAAAACGGACTATAAATTTTCTCTTTTATCTGACTTAAAGAGATTAGAGGCTGTTACTAGGGAACTTCATTGGAGAAAATTAAGTACCCATACTTTTTGGATTAGTGAACAATGGTTTTAACTTGACTAAAATCTCTGGGACCTGAATACCTTTGTGTTCCACCAATAGCATGGATGCATAAAGGGGTCAGATAATAAAGAAAGTTTTGGCTAAATCTACCTTATGGTGTGCCAAAAGGGTTTGCAAATCCTTATAGTTGTTTCCTGGATTCCGAATGCATACTTTAAAAGGAGTTAGCAACTGACAGAATCCCCATAATGCCTCTCTGACATTTGTAGCATGGGCAATGAGGAACTTAAGACAAGACAGGGCCAAGTAAAATGTGATGGAACTGCCTTTTCCTTACCAAAATAACGAAGCACTATCAGACTTCCAGAGGAACTGTAGAGTCTTGTGCCATAATCAAAACCTGAAAATAACCAAGTGTGGTGGCACACACTTATAATCCCAGTGGTTTGGGAGGCTAGGTAGGAGGATTTCAAGTTCAAAGCCAACCTCAGCAAAAGTAAGGTGCTAAGCAACTCAGTGAGACCCTGTCTCTAAATAAAATACAAAATAGGGCTGGGGATGTGGCTCAGTGGTTGACTGCCCTTGAGTTCAATCCCCATTACCCACCACCCCCCCAAAAAAGAAAACTTGAAAATAGTAGAGAGGGTAATTCTTACCATAGCCACGTTCAGCTCACCTCATTACTATGTGTAAATGATTGATGGGTCTTAGCCATCAGAAGGTGAGGTTGTAGCTACTACTCTTTACTATAACAAATTATCACAGCCTCATGTTCCTGTTATGCCACTCTGGATCTGGAAGATGCTTTCTTCTCCATCCCAATTAAGAGAGAAAACCAAAAGTAATTTTCTTTCAACAAGTAAAAACAGAAGTAGACCTTCATTATTTTGCCTAAGACTGTCTGTTAATCTAGTTCATAAGGGATTGATCCCCTTTGGACCTGGTAAGCAGGAAGTAACAAAAAATACTCTATATATCTTAGGTGAGACAATGTTTATTAGAGGGTGGATATAAGCCTCTAGAAAATTCAGGAGCTTGAAGGACAAAAGATAGCAGATTAGAGGAAGGTTACATTTCCAGTTGCTCTGTGCCCAGGATTCAAGCAATGGGAGAATTCTCAGAGAGGTGAGTGAGAGAGGGATTTCACCAAAATTCAATACCAAACAGTCAAGAGTTTCTTAGAGACTGATAAATTCAGGTGCATTGAACAACAACAAAAAAAAAAGAATGACTACACTGGAGCCAAGCCAGTTGCTGCAGTGGCAATGGCAGCAGCAGCGGTGGTGGTGCTAGTTTACCACAGAATGAAAAGATAACACACTGAGAAAAACGTAACAGAAAAAATTGGCACAGAAACCTATAGATCAGAAAAGCAGCCTAAATTTAGCTGATCCAGACTGCACAACAAACTGGTGTTTGAAAAGTGCTCTATATTTCTCAACTAGCCAGTGGAGAGCTAAGGCAGGAACCATTTGAGGATGTCATGCTGCAGCTTGTTGTTGTCAAGCCTGTAAGATCATAGCCAGCATTGATTGAGAAATCGTCACAGACATCACAGAAATCCAGAGGATCATTGTGGACTATTTTGAAAACTTATACTCCAGTAAATTGGAAAACCTAGATGAAATGGATACATTTTTAAACACATATGACCTACCAAAATTGAATCAAGAGGAAATAGAAAAAATCTAAACATATCAATAACTAGCAATGAAATAGAAGCACTATCTTCCAAAAAAGAAAAACCCAGGACTAGATGGATTCTCAGCTGAAGTCTACCAGAACTTTAAAGAAGACAATGCTTCTCAAATTATTCCTTGAAATAGAAAGGGATGAAACACTTTCAAATTCATTCTATGAAGCAAGTATCACACTGATAACAAAATCAGGTAAGGACACATAAAGGAAAGAAAACTATTCCCTTATGACCTTAAATGAATTAAGCACTTTATTAAGAAGATTGTACATCATAACTAAGTTAATTCTATCCTAGGAATACAAAGATGGTTGAACATACATACACAAATCAGTAAGTGTAATTCATCACATAAATAGAATTAAGGACAAAAATCATTTAGTTATCTCATAGATGCAGAGAAAGCTTTTGACAAAATTCAACACCACTTCATAATAAAAACACTGAAGAAACTAGGGATAGAAGGAACTTGTCTCAATATCATAAAGGCTATATATGAAAAACCCAAAGCCAACATCATAGTGAATAGGAAAAAAACTGAAAGTATTTGCTTTAAAACCTGG